ATGAGCTGGCAATATGAATTAGTACATGAAAGCCACCTCAAATAAAGCATGGAAAAAAAATCAGCCCCATCTGGGCAAATCTGGAGAAATTTGGGTTTATGGACAATTTTTTTCAGCCCCATCTGGGCAAATCTGGGTTTAGGGCCAAAAAATTTAGCTTTATTTAGGGGGCATTTATTATTTATTTTGGGAAAAATTTAGCTTTATTCAGGGGGCATTTACAAATCATAGGTGAACATTACAACTGCAACTACAACTACAAGTACCACTACACTACACTACTACTACAACTACAAGTACAAATATACTACGCTACATTACACAACACTAATTACACTACGCTACACTAATTACACCTAATTTCGCTACACTACACAAATTACACTACAACTATTACAACAGCAACTACTACCACAGCAACTACAACAACAACAACGACAACAACAACAACTACTACCTGCTACTACTACTACTACTACTACTGCTACTACTACTACTACTACTACTACTTCTGCTACTACTTCTGCTACTACTACTACTGCTACTACTACTACTACGACGACTACTACTACTGCTGCTACTACTACCACTACTACACTACTACTGCTGCTACTACTACTACTGTTATTACTACTGCTACTACCACTACTACCACTACTACTGCTACTACTACTACTACAACAACTACTACTACTACTGCTACTACTTCTGCTACTACTTCCGCTACTACTACTACTACTACTACTACTACTACTACTACTACTACTACTACTACTACCCTACCACTACTACTACTACTGCTACGGCTACTGCTACTGCTACTGCTACTACTACAACAACAACTACTACTACAACTACTACTACTACTACTACTTCTGCTGCTACTACTACTACTACCACCACCACAGCTACAACTACAATAACAGCTTCACTACATTACACTACAATACACTAATTAAACTGCAGTACATTACAGCTACAAATGCAACTACAACTACAACTACACTACATTAAACAACACTACACTACACTAGTTACATTACATTACATTACAACTGCAACTACCACTACATTGCACTACGCGACACTACACTACAACTACACTACTTTACACTACAATGCACTAGACTACACTACACTACACTACTCCACACCACGCTACAGTACACAACACTACAGTACACTACAATGCACTACCCTAATTACACCACACCACAACTACAACTGCAACTGCAACTACACTACACTACACTAATTACACTACTTTACAACTACAACTTGAAACTACAACTCCACTACACTAGAACTACACCTACAACTACAACTGCGCTACCCACACTACATCCAGCAGTTGTGGTGAGGTGACCACTGCAACCATTGCAGCCACTCCAGAAAACACAACTTCAACCACCTTTCAGTCCATCAGTGGATTCGCTCTGCCATCCGTGATTCACAACAACCAACCTCTCCTATAGGTTTACTATTTTTGAAACGGTACTACTGGTATCCTATAATTTACCAGATTATTGATATTAGTGATTGTTGACCTACCATATTGATATTGGTTGTCACTACTATGGTAGGTCCAGTTCACCAGTTCTGTGACGATGAAACCCATGTTCACCCAGCATCTGAAAATTGGATGCGGCACCCCGCAGTTGAAAAAAATACATCATCCCCAAAAAAGACCTACACATCAAATGGTGTTCTAGGCTTTCATACATTCGCATATGACAATGGCCCACACAAATTGTGCAGCAATGCCATGTGCTCCATTTACAGTTGACATTACAGAAGGAAGTGTACCCATTCCAATTTAATGAGTACGCCAAACCACGCTCAAAAGATATGTGCATCATACCTGTCGTTGGAGAGATAAGAACAAAACAGCTGGACACCCACCTCTTAATATGGACCATTTCTACAACTGGAAATAATGGCTAAAGATCTGGATAATGATGTTTATTATTAATACTAGTACTGATGTTGCTATCAATAGGACTATGATGATGTTGATGATGATGATCATCATGATCATGATCATGATTATGAATCATGATCATGAATCGTGAATCATCATCATGAGTCATGAGGAATCATGAGGACAGTTACTATGATTTTCATTATCATGAGTATGACTACGATCATAATACATGATGATTATAATTATAGTAAAGGATTAGAATGAGGATGTGCCGGATGTGCTACATTAGTTGGTTGTATCTTCCAAGAACGTGTACCTCAGTCAGAGGTCCCCACTTGAAGGCTAGGACCTCATAAGATGATGCTTGAAATGGCGAGGACAAAAATAATGCGAAACCAGGAACCAGGAACCAAGTCCGAAAACTCACATGTTCTGTGGAACTAATTCCGTTCTAGTATACATCATCAAAAAAATAGAAGAGTATAATGAGATGGTGATGCCATAACTTTTCTGTCTTTTTTGGAGGTAACTATATATTTAAGGATACGATCACTTTGCTAGTGATTTACCAATTATAGGTATGTTCCCAGTACAGTTATCACAGGCAACGTGAACCGCCATGCAGCCATGTCACGTGTTGTTGGAATATAGTATGTCTAATTTCCGAAAAGATGAAAAATCGTTTGCCATTTTATCATATTTTATTCCCTATGAATCCCCATTAATCCACTTTTTAGCAGGATTCTAAAGTTCTTTGTTTTTTTTTGGTTGCCATGCGATCAACATTTACCGACTGTTGCTTCTCGTATGCCGTACCCGCTTGTGGCGAGCAGCTCACTTCAATGCTCAGTCGGTGAACCCCCAAGCCCCAAGCTTCTTTTCATAAATACCACTCTGATCTACCTTGACCCTAGAAGAAATCAGAAAAAACACTGCCACCAATAAACACATACACCGAAACTGTCCAAACAATTGATATGTTTATTCATGTTTACATTTCAGGTTTGAAATTTCCTGCAAAAAAAGACTGGTTAGTATATATATATGTATGTATGTATGTACGTATGTATGTATGTATGTATGTATCCCATTGTATCCCCATATGTCATATGTTGCTGAACCGATTGGAGTACTAAACTACAAAAAAAACGTCTAAGGTTGCTCAGCTTACAGAATTTCACGCGTACCTCCTGATATTTTAACACTTCGCTATTGAAACTCATCAATTTTAACAGGTAAGTCATCGAACTAAATGGCAATGTTCCATTGCTATGTTAAATTACCAGAAGCTAAATTGAAAATCACGACGTTTAATTTATAGGGAAATCATCACACATCATCTACAAATGTGCCATTTTCCATTCAAGCTAGCACTTTGTGGCCCTTTTTCAATGGCCAGTTGGCTCGCGCGTTGGCTCTTTGGCCGGTGGTCGTTGGCTCGTTCAATACCCGGTCAGTCGCCTGGAAGATGCTTTTATGGTGATTTCATGGGATTTCAACGATCCAATGGCACGAGATATGGTTGGTTTATAGACCCATGAAAAATTGCAGAGATAGCCATCACAAACCCTAGTTCTCTTGGTTCCAAAACAACTTAATTACATTGGTTGGGACTTGGGAGGCCCACTTTGTATCTATTTTCTGTGATTATCTTCTCGCGTAGTGGAACAAATAAATTGTTTATTGGTTCTTTTAGAGGGTCATACTATGTAATACTATTTATGTAATGTATACCCGGGATTAACATCATCCATGATGGGGTTTCCGTGCCAAAAAACCAACCACCAGCAGTATGATACTGGTTATGAACATTTATGGGAATGCCCATTGCAAAAAAAAGGATACCAGCATACCAACCAGCGAAAAAAACGGGAGCCTTTAGCTGTATACCATCCATGGGTTTTTGTCATGTGCCCTAGTTATAAGTTGCTTCATAAGCCCATGAACTAGTTCGATATATCTATCATATGAATCATAAGTCCTACTTATCTACTTTTTATATTGAAGTTATTTGAAGCAACTTAGCTCTCGAACTAGGGCCCCACCTTGGTATAACCTAAGTTCCGTGAAGTGGGATGTGTGGTCTCAACAACGCTGCAGCAAACCAATGTTTGAATTGCGAGATTCGAAACCCGATTGAGGGGGGTTCAGCAAATCAAACTTACGATTTAAATTGTGGTTAAAAAAGTGTGTAAGCCACCCAATTAACAACTTTTAAACATCAAATGAACCAGTTTAAACACCAGCACGTTGCTCACCAGCAGAATTTTCCACACAAACTACAACAGCGAAGGGTATACCATGGTCATTTCAATACAGAGGCAACGTTTGCCACTTTCAAAGTTTACCCACATGATACTGCTTTGCTGCTCCCAATCTCGATCAATTTTACCATGTGCCTCAAGGTTCACCATGATCGCCAGTGAGAGCTGATCCCCTACTAATTCATCCACCGTTGAGTGAAATCCCGGATTGAGAGTGTTGGTGAAATCCCCGCTAGTTTTTTGGCCACCCCCTTGAAAGCTACAGTAACGCACGCACTGCCTCGCAATTGGATCATGAACCCTAATAGAAGTGGAGATATCCGATGCCAGAAAATTGGTTATATACCCCAAAATGGCTGTTTGGATGTGTTTTTTCAATTATGTTTGTTCCTCCACCAGTAGATGTACGGCCGAGGGGCAACCATATACATAAAGACAAACTGGTGAAATCATCATTGTTCTGAAACACTTGGGTCGCGATCGCAAAATTTGGAACTCCGAAATCCAGTTTTGAGCATCATAATTTTCTCCTTGAATGTTGCAATGGTCAGGTGTGCCCATTCTGAGGAAAACCAACTTACCCGTTGAGCAGATCATGATACCTCCCGATCCAGATTTAAGGCCATGTTGTGAGATATCCATATGAATATTTAAATATATACTTACATATGTGATTATTCCCAAGCAATCTTCTTCTAGAGAGGTCCGTGAGAATGGGGTCAGTCAAATCCTGCATTAAATAGTTTAAATATGGCTGAATCACTGCTGAACAGGTAGGATGGGTCTTTGCTGCCAAGAGACCGAGAAGGTGGGCATCGAGAAATCCAACGTGACGTCATAGGAGTGATGCTGGCGGTTTCACGCGGTTTCGTTGCTCAAACCAATAAGTGATTCGTGTTCATTCTGCAGATATATATATATATATATGCATAGTCAAGTGTAGCAAATAATATGTATTTAGATCCTAGATATAAGGTGTACGTATATATGCATGTGAATATGTATGTATGTATGTATGTATGTATGTATGTATGTATGTATGTATGTATGTATGTATGTACATACGTATGTATGTACGTACGTATGTATGTAAGTACGTACGTACGTACGTATGTATGTATGTATGTATGTACATACGTATGTATGTATGTATGTGTGTATGTCTGTCTGTCTGTCTGTCTGTCTGCCTGCCTGCCTGCCTGCCTGCCTGCCTGCCTGCCTGCCTGCCTGCCTGTCTGTCTGTCTGTCTGTCTGTCTGTCTGTATGGTGGAAATATATATATATGCATGTATGCATGTATGTATGTATGTATGTATGGATGTATGTATAGATATGTGTAAATATATATATGTATAGGTATATGTAAATGTAAATATATATGTATATGTAAAGTAAAGGTATATGTAAATGTAAATGTATGTGTATATGTATATGTATATGTGTGTATGTATGTATGTCTGTATGTCTGTATGTCTGTATATCTGTCTGTCTGTATGTCTGTATGCCTTTATGTCTGTATGTCTGAATGTTTGTATGTCTGTATGTCTGTATGTCTGTATGTCCTTACGTCTGTACATCTGTATGTATGTATGTATGTATGTATGTAAGCGTGCATGCATGCATGCATGCATGCATGCATGTATCTGTATGTGTATGTGTATGTGTAGGTGTGTGTGTGTGTATGTGTGTAGGTGTATGTGTACTTGTATGTGCATGTATGTATGTATGCATGTATGCATGCATGTATGTATGTATGATTGTATGCATGTTTGTATGTCTGTATGTATGTATGTATGTCTGTATGTATGTTTGCATGCATGCATCTATCTGTATGTGCATGTGGATGTGTATATGTATGTGTATGTGTATGTGTAGGTGTATGTGTATGTGTATGTATGTATGTATGCATGTAGGTATGTATGTATGTATGTATGACTGTTTGTTTGTATGTATGTATGCATGTATGCATGTATGTATGTACCGTATGTATGTAAGTATATATATAAATATGTATGTATGTATGTACGTATGTACGTATATATGTGTATATATAAATATGTATATGTATATATATAAAATATATATATACATATGTCTATATGCATATATATATATGTATGTATGTATATATGCATATGTGTGTATATGTGTTTATATATAAATATATATGCATGTATGCATATGTATATATGTATGCATGAATGTATATATGTATACATGTATATATATATATATATATCTATGTACATGTATGTATATATGTATATATGTATATATGCATTTGTGTGTATATGTGAGTATATGTGTGTATATGTGTGTATATGTGTGTACATATGTACATATGTATGTATGTATGTATTTATGTATGTATGTATGTATGTAGGTACGTTCGTACGTACGTACGTATATGTATGTATATGTATATGTATATGTATATGTATGTATGTATGTATGTATGTATGTATGTATGTATCTGTGTATCTGTGTATATGTGTATATGTGTAAATATATATATATATATGTATTTATATTTATATATATATGTGCATACGTGTATAATTGTGTATATTATATGATATATACATATCATTGTAGACATAGAAAATGGTTTGGATGTATAATGGTATACATACATATCGTACCACATTACCACATTCGGGTAGTCAGACCCCCAAAAAGATGTTCCCACGCCGAAAATAGACCCCATTTCAACACCGAAAGGTCCAAGGACAATGGAAAACGTGTTAGAAACCGACTTGAGTACCCTCTTGCAAACTAACATAGCTATGAAAAATTGTCAATTTAAAGATGATTTACCTATAAAAATGGTGATTTTCAATCATTATGTTAGTTTACCGGAGGGTTTATGAGGTTCGGCAGATGATGCTCTTGCCACAAATGAATCTTACCATCTTTTTCGGGGTTCTCTGGTTCTCTATGCCTAAATGTGTTTTGTTTCAACCCCAATGGTCATCTCATGTAGGATGGAAAACACATGTCGAAAACAGTAGAACCAATAAACTATAATATATACTATATATCACAATGTGTAGATCTGTTTAGAACCAATGGAATTTCATCTGGATACCGGTGGTATGCCCTTCCCGCAAGCCCACAAAGCTCTGTTTTCGCTTCAGTTCTTTGACTGGAGAAAAAAAAACGGGCAAACCCAAATGGACGCGCAGAGTATGGTTTATAAGAACATGTTGAATATTGTTGAATAAATTTACCATCTGTACAATATATAGTATAACATGTTCAAATGTGATATATCATGTTTATTGCCGAAGGAAGTTTAGAAGTCAAACTTCCGACAATATGGAAAGATGAAAAGCAGAGCAGGGCAGAGGCAGAGAGAAGAGAAAGATTAGAAGAGAGAAGATCAGAAGAGAAAGAGTCAGAAGAAAGAAGATGCAGATGCGCGAAAAGGTAAGAAAGTCGCGAAACACTGTGTTTTTCCAATGATTCGTGGCTCCGGAGGGTCGAAAAGTAGGCTCGCTAAAGCGGCGGGTGCGGAGCCAGCTGGCCAGATGAGAGATGAAAATTTGCACGCCGTTGTGGCGCGAAGCACATTTTGAAGTCAAAATGTACAAAACACACCATTGTCGGACCACTTTTGGAAGTTGCGATGTCGAAAAAGTGCACGCCGTTGTGGTGCGAAGCACATTTTGAAGTCAAAAAAAAAAGCACACAATTCTCGGACCACTTTCGGAAGTTGAGATGTTGAAAAAGTGCACGCAGTTGTGGCGCAAAGCACATTTTGAAGTCAAAATGTACAAAACACACCAGGTCCGGACCACTTTTGGAAGTTGAGATGTCGAAAAAGTGCACGCCGTTGTGGCGCGAAGCACATTTTGAAGTCAAAATGTACAAAGCACACCATTCTCGGACCACTTTTGGAAGTTGCGATGTCGAAAAAGTGCACGCCGTTGTGGCGCGAAGCACATTTCCAAGTCAAAATGTACAAAACACCACATGTTCGCGCCACTTTTGGAGGTTCGGATGTTGAAAAAGTGCACGCCGTTGTGGCGCGAAGCACATTTCGAAGTCAAAATGGACAAAACACACCAGGGGTTCGGACCACTTTTGGAGGTTCGAGATGTCGAAAAAGTGCACGCCGTTGTGGCGTCAAAATGTACAAAACACTAGGGGTTCGGACCACTTTTGGAGGTTCAGATGTCGCTTCGCTTCAAGACATTACACTACAGGACATTACACTACACTACACTCCAGTACACTACATTACACTACATTACACTCCAGTACACTCCACTACACTAAATTACACTACACCACACTACATTACACTGAATGACACTGCAACACAGATAGACAGGTAGACAGCTAGACAGATAGACAGATGAAAGGGAGAGATAGATAGACAGGTAGGTAGATAGATAGATAGATAGGTAATTAGATGAAAGAGAGAGAGAGAGAGGCCAGCTGGGTAGATGAGATAGATAGATAAATGGCTAGACAGATAGACAGACAGATAGACAGACAGATAGATAGACAGATAGATAGATAGATACATCGATAGATACATAGATCGATACATGGAGAGATAGATAGATACATGGAGAGATAGATAGATACATAATAATACATAGAGAGAGAGAGATAGATAGATAGATAGATAGATAGATAGAAAGATAGATAGATAGATAGATAGACAGATAGATAGGTAGGTAGGTAGACAGATAGACAGATAGATAGATAGATGGATAGATAGACAGACAGACAGCTAGACAGATAGACAGATGAAAGAAAGAGAGAGAGAGAGATAGATAAATAGATAGATAGATAGGTAACTAGATGATAGATAGATAGATAGAGATAGATAGATAGATAGATAGATAGATAGATAGATAGATAGATAGATAGATAGATAGATAGATAGATAGATAGATAGATAGATCGATAGATAGATAGATACATAGAAAATAGATAGGTAGGTAGGTAGATAGTCAGAGAAAGAGAGAGAAAGAGTGAGAGAGATCAAGCACCTTTCAATCCATCAGTGGCTTCGCTCTGCCATCCCTGATTCACAACAACCAACCTCTCCTATAGGTTTCCTATTTTTGAAACTTCCGCCACCGCCTTGTGCGGTACTACTGGTATAGTGTGATTTAATGTAGCATCATGTATCGTATGTTTTTCTCGGCATGTGTCCGCAGATGTGAATCTCAACAAACACGAATGCGGGTTCAATGAGTTGAGTTAGACACTGAAAATGACTAAAAATCATGAAAGTAGCAGTATTTTGGGTTGAAATGCCCTGCACTAGGTAATTACATGTATTTACTATATGGATAAGACCAAACATCTGGACATTCCAATTCCATACGCCTCTAAAAAATCGAGCTTTAGCCGTTGTGGAGAGTCCATTTGGAGCGCCATGTCCTGCACCTATCTCGGTGGTCCCGTGCTCTGAGAAAGACACCTGCTGCTTTTCGAAGGACACTTCGTTAATATTCCCACGAATAGAGCCCGAAAAACATAACATTACATTATGAAATTGGATATTCATATATCATATTATATATATATTATATTATGAATACTATTGTCATAAATATGTATAAATTATATATATATTAAACAACCCGTCGAGTTGTTCCCAAAAAACATGGTCGCCCACATTTCCTGGGACATCTAAGTGGCAGTGGGATGTGTGATCCGTAGCATGCCGTAGCCATCTGGATTGTACCATAATAGCTGAAATAATCTGAACATTTGTTGGGTTCAAAATTAAAGACCTAGGCGAATAGCCATTTGTAGTACTTCCTGGAATAACATGAATAACTCATCTGTGGAAAACCCAATAACTCATCTCACAACTTTAATTCGTCACCTTATCCCGGACCGGATATACCCGGAGCCCGCATTGTTTGTATTGATTCATGCTATCACCATAACGTCGGCCAGGTGATTATAACTCACCAAGATATATAGATGTGGGGATCTGCTGGCCAACCATTCCAGCGGAATCCCCACAAACCTGGGGATATCGCATAATATCACCAGAAAACAATGGGGATGTGCTTCAAACATGTTCAGATATTAGTCATTTGCAAATTTTACCATCCCCCGAACGAACATACAACACCTACCAAATAGCGGGTTGGAATAGGGTGGAATTGGCTGGGATTATTTATCCAATATTTATCCCATTGTATCATATCATATGTTCCCATTGTAGAAAAAACCCGCATTTCATCATGAGATATTCACCAAAAAAACGCCCATTTCTTGATGGTTCAACACTCAATGCCCACAGTCCACAGCACGGGTCGGCATCGCGACGAGAAACGGGTCTCGACGCATCAAGCTTTTTGTGGTGACACATGGAAAAACAACAGACTTTTGGCAGATGTTCTCCATGGAAATAAAAAATCTTGGCGACCAGCAACGAATATCCACAAGCGAAAACATGCGAAAACCGCCATGGAAGGTCCAATATTTCCTCAGCCATGTGGATATGGATTAGATTGATTAGATTCTTGACCAACACAAGGACGAAGAGGGATACAACTACTCAACCACGGGAGTTGTGTCCCTCAACCACGTTGGCATGATCAAAAATCAACATGTTGCCTTTCTGGAAACAAAATGAGCAGAAGAAATCCTGTATCTGGGATGTTGCCATTTTGTATGTGACGCTGCTCTCATCGTTTACCCCTCTTAAGATCTCTAATTATAGATCTCATAAGTTCTCCATGTCTCCCTGGCAATTCGGTGAGACTGTGATTCTTCGCTGGAAAGCTCCACACCACTAAATCACAATGGCATGGGGAGGGACTGTCGACTGGGACATACTTCTGGATATATTATATGGGTTGGTCATGATTTGGGTATGGGTCAAACTTAGGTACCCCAATAATTGGATGGTTAATACTAAACTAGACTAACATCTGTGGTCCCCTAGGTCTTCCATTTTGACCTACATCCATTTGTCTAGGGATGCCATTCCAATAGGGAAAATGATGGTAATCCATGATAGTCCATTGGGCGTACCCGATTTTCAGACCCAAATTCATTCATCATTCACCGAAAAAAGGCTCGGCCATTTGGGGATAGTTACCACCAATCCATTCACATAAAAATACAAAGTGACGTCGCATGGGTAGATGGGCTTGCCCGGCAACCAAAACCACCCATGGTTTTTCAAAGTCCGCATGGCAATAATGGAAGCATGGCAAATCATTGAATCTATGAAGGGTAGTATAATCCCCGAACTAATCATCAACCAACAGGGGTTTAGCAGCCAGGAAAAATCCGAGGAATTGATCCTCAAAAACAAAGATCCGGTGGAAAAAAGATGTTGAAGGTGAGGCTTCACTTCACCCTAACCCCAGTGATATCCTCATTGTTGTTGCTTCACCTTTTTTTCTCAGGTGTGAACACAACTTGCCAGCGACTTCAAGACCTAACTTTTCTTCTCCTGTGGCCCAGGTGTTCCAAAGACGACTTTCGGATCATCATCTCACCTATTTCCAGGGTTGTTCAAGAAGAAATGATTGAAACCAGCAACATCCACCACCCAGGTTATCATCAGAATCATCATTGGTAATAACATGTTACAAATATCCATGATATCAATGATATCTTCCTATTATATTAAAATAGACGGCGAAAAATCCCCGGTGAAATCCCCATGAGTCTGCCTGGTACGCATCACTTGTTGTTGAATTTTTATCAGTTGGATCATTGAAGGATTCTACCATCTGCTTATTTAACATAGCCATGGAAAATCCCTCATAAATGGAGGTTTTAATGGGAAAATCATCTATAAATGGGCAATTTTCCATGGCTATGTTAAATAACCAGAGGGTAATACAAAAAAGCTGGGTTTATCAACCGAATGTCGTGGAGATGACCATCTCACAGAAAACCCAGCTGAGGTCGGCTACCAACCCGAGCCATCGAGCAGCATAGATTCAGATGGGCGGCCATGGGAGTCAAGGATTAGCCAACTTGAACTGGCGAGTTTCTGTGGAGTGTAACTGACCAAATCCCACTTATCCGACTTATCCATTTACTAACTAGTTAACTAGTTAATAACTAACCCCATGGCCCATCAAAGCAGTAGATGATTGAAATTAGCCTCTGGCAAATTAACATGTCAACCCTGACACTAGCTCATTTTGAGTGAAACAAATCATCTTCCAACCCAGATAGTCATGGCAGGGTCGAACTGTTTATATATATATATATATGTTTACTGGTTAGTTGTTGTGGCTTGTAACATCCCATAACCCAAAAAAATCCCTGTTTACGAACCGAACAGTTTATACCGAAGGTAACTAGTTTGTTGACCTGTTACAGTTATATATTTATATAATTGCTAACTAGTTACCTTCGTTAACAGCCCCAAACTCCACCCATCAGCGCAGCTGGACCTGCCTTGCTAGCGAGGATGCCCTTCATGTGCTCCAATGTATTGCTGACGTCCTTGTGCGGTAGACGCTGCACACTAGGACCATAGAATGGGGAAGGTTAAATATGAACCATTAATATATAGTATAATGATGTGTATATATAATATCATGTATATTATATATATAATAATATCATCATATATATTATATATATTATATATATCATATCATATATATTATATATATCATATCATATATTATATATATAATATTATATATATATTATCACAATTTAACATATATATATATGCATGTACAGTAATTATAAGTATAGAGTATAATGATGTATCATGCACAGTACATTTAATCTCACATCTTCACCTGGGATGCGGCTTACAAACTCCACATAGTCACCTCAACAGTTCGGATCTTTTGAGATCTTTCGTGAACATTGCGCTTACACTGCAGTCACAATGATGTACATTCTATCTGAAAAAATAGCTCTTAAAATCACCTACAAAAAAAACACCGAAAGAAATCGCCAACCATTCACCACATTTCACAATGACTTGAAATGAATTGGCAATTATCTATTCCAATACGGTTTTTTATTGGCTCTTGACTAATTCCATCCCCCTAATATTAAAATACCTAAAGGGGTCCCAATATGTCTAAATTTCTTACTAAACCATGGTTCTTTGGAGGGTGCTTTATCTATTTTTGAGGTTCAAGGGATTACCCAACTATCCCTAAATCGTACGCCATGGCGACTTATCCCTCTCCTGCACCAATGGTTCGAGGTTGTCCGGTGTCTTCTCTTTGCAAAACCTAGTTGGTGCGTTAGGTCAGCGCCAACTGAAACCGTGGCTTTTGAAGGGTTAACTTTGCAAGGGCCCACTGGGAAAACCATGGGGAAAACAAGGATTTTCACCAACAAATCTGTGATTGTCAGGTCAATTCCCAGTTGAACAGCCAAAATGAGTGGATTTAAATGACTTGACCTCCAATGTCTGGAATTCGAGCAATATCATGATATTTACCCTCTGGTGGTTATGTCAAAATAGCTATTGAAAATGGCCATAGAAATAGTTGATTTTCCCAATAAAAATTGTGATTTTCCATAGTTGTGTTAGTTTACCGGAGTGTAATTGATTTTGACATGAAACCTGTGTCGATTTGACATATCTTTGGATTGATGGAACCTGCATAGATTCAATTCCGCGGTTGATTTGTGATTGGGAAATAAACTAAATAAACAAGAATCTTCCACAAATCCAGGTATATATCTACAGGAACTGCTTGAATCGCCAAGAATCTTTGCAGCACGTGGGCACGTGAATAACCGATTTTTACTGGTCCAAGTTGGTGTCTACAGTCTCACCATGGGATAAACCAACTCTACCTATAACTGGAGGCTACGGTGGCCCCTTCATGGCCCATTCATTCAGACTTGTTCATGACCGTCCCTAGAAGGCAGCTGGGAAACCCTCCAAGTCCGATGGTAGCAACCCATCACTGGGGTTCTGAGGTGGCATCACTCACCTTGTGAGTAGACGAAAAATCGCGTTGCTATAGCCCATTCAAAAATGAGTTTATTATTTTATTCAACTAACTCAACCAACTAATGTGGTAAATCCGATCATGACTAGCTCCAACAATTTAGGATCAGCTCTTCAGGTCACCTTTTTCACCATGTAAATGCGGCAAAGAGACCATAAGTAGAAACCCGATCTGCCACCTCGAACCTGACCCCATGGAGGACAAGCATGATTTCGGTAAGTGTACAGTGGATGTGCTCGGTGATTTACCCAAAAAATATGGGACATGATGTCATTCACTCTACTCTTGGAGCTACACCCTCGTAGCCCAGTTTTTCAATCTTTTTCACACCATGGCTATGTCAAATCACCATAGACGGCACGCTTGAAGTACGTCATCTAAATATTTCAGATGGAGTATGACATCATTTTTTGTCGCCCGCACAATCCAAGATATGGTTGTCTCAATACGGTTGTAGCCCCATTCCATCCCATGGTTGTAACCAGATCTGTGCCATGGTGAACCAGATCTGTTCCAACGGAATTTGCAAACAAAGGCTGGCCCACTCCCCTATACTGAGGCAAAACATCTGCTTAAATCATCTTAATCCCAATTCTTCCGGATCAAAACGCTTTCTTTGATGAATCAACTGATCAAACCAGCCTTAGCGAGGCCTTACCGGGGAAAAACGGATGTTCACATCCAGGGTTGACCCGTACAAAAAAAAGGCCGAAAGGTCCCCGGTTTCCGACCCCAAAAACCCACCATAGACCGAGGTCCAGGCCCAAGGTGTGTCAGGGCTTTGATAGGCCCCCATCATGATCAAAGTCTGGTCAGTGGAAGGTCATGGACGTGGCGGGCGGGCTGATGAGTTGATTTTGACAAATTCAACCAAAATTTTGGGATCGATCCATCGATCAATCAGATGTGAAGGGAAAATCCACAGCAAACTATACTTTTTGGAAAGTTTTTGGGCGTTTGATCCTTAAAATCAAAGGGTTTTGTCCGGTTGCGCATGTTTTTGGGGTTTGCTGCATCTCTATACCACAAACTGAAATTTTATACAATCCACAGTGCGTCATCTATGGCGAGGTCGCTTTTAGGTAGAGCACAGGTATGGTTTGAAAAATGATAACCCCCCGGAAAATGGATCTGAATACATGATGATACACTCTGGTAGTTTAACATAGCTATTGAAAATTGCCACTTAGTTAGGCGATTTTCCGATTGAAAATTGGGAATTTCCAGTTCGCTATGTTAGTTTACCAAAGGGGAATTCATGAATTCCTCATTGATCCATCTCATTGAACGGCAGGGAGATCACTTTGGCCACAAATTTCCATCACTTTGGACATAAATCAATTTGTTCGACGAAAAATTGTCACTGCGATCATAAATTTACAGCACATTGGCATTTATATATAGCAATGAACTAAAGGATGAAACTAGCCATACAAGGTTGGAGATTAATTATACATATATATATATATCTATATACATAATATATATATATATATATATACATATTATATATATATACATAAAAAACATATATATATATATACATATAATATATATATATATACTCTATGCATATATGTATATGTACACATGCTTCCAATTCTCTACAGTATATACATTGTCTTCTCCCATCGTCCCATATTGTCCCAACTGATATCCCCATAAATTCGATGGTTAAACACTAAACATGGCCCTAAAAAAGGGTGTGCGATTTGGGAAGTTGGGCTTGTCTGAAAATAGTGCACCCCAAACCCATTGGTTAAATATCAGTTTCCCGTATTTTCCCTACTTTTTTTGGCAACAAAAAGGGGGTATAGCCAATTTTCAGACACCAGTTGGTACCTCAATAAGTTGACCTCGCCTGACAGACAAAGAAGATGATGCTCGAGCCAGGTAGGGTACTGGCATCGCGGGGGTGTCGTGGTTTTTGAAGGTCGTTTCAGAGATTGAATCTGATGAAAAAATATGAGATAATACAGTTAGCTCAGGAATATATATTATATTTCTAGAAATATAATGTATACATACATACGTAATCATATTTATATGTATATATATGTACACATGGGATACCAGTAAGGATAGTAATACTCTATTTCTATGAAATTATATCTTTACATATGGGATAGCCCCACAACTTGGGGACTTACGATCAATATGGTTGTTGAAGAGTTGCAAAGGTGTGCTAGGTACAAGTGCGGATGATCCAACTAAAAAGGCTACTCTGCTACTCTGCCGTAATAAAACATGCTAAAAAAATATTACGATAGATTTGGCGACATATTGAAAATGGAGGTGTTCCATCACCATGCTCAATTACTAAGGGGTATCGGTTTTGACAATATGGGACTACCAGGTTACCCTTCTCCATAAACGAGGAAATTCGGACATGAGACGAGAAATTGGGGGCAGACTCTATCTATCAATGGTTAAGAACAAATCAGAAACCTAAATTAGCTAGTCATAAGTTATCCAATCTCGACATTATGTCGTCACTAAGTTCTATGATTTTCCCATTCATGCTCTGCTGATGATTTTTCCCTTTTCCCTGTGATTCTCTCATTAAAATAGCCACCAAAATGACATATGGGCCAAGGAGGAATGGTGATGTCATCTCCCTGTACATCATTTTGGCGGATCCAACAACAATGTACACATATAGTCCATATGTACTTATATAACTTACATACATGTAGACTTTGTCTTTACCCATACAAGTGGGCCATGTGTTGAATGTTGCTGTCTCTGAGATCTATACAGAGTATATCATACATGGAGCATATGGGATCGCAACGTCAAAGACCAAATCCACATAGGTCATGTCCCACAACTGACCAGGGGCTCCTCTAATGACTCGCAGCCCACTCTTCACGGTTCGACTTTAGTAGGTGACATCATCTTCATACACTCTGCACTCAAATAAAAAAGACTTAAAAATGATGGCACCAGCAACAACGGTTTATGACTTACTCTGACGGAAGAATTACAGGAAACCATGGTTTCTCACATTGAATCGATCAGGCTGCTGCAAATGCGCCCTTCATTAAATTCGGGAGAATGTGTAAAACTGGAGTGCACCCCAAGAAACATCTCATCAATTATTCAATGGATTGGCGGGAAAATCTACGGGAAACCTCAGGAAACCATAAATTTTCCAACAAAACTTATGGCTGGGTGGTTCCTGTAGTTTTTCCCTTCAACCAATCCATTAAATTATCCATCATAAACTCAAATATCTGGGGCAGAATCTTCACCCTCTGGGCCGTGCCTGTTGTGGTTCAGAAAGCCATAAATCCTCGGTCTCTGGGCGAGTGTTCGTTCCACAGAAATTCCATCCTTTAAAACACGGAAATTGGGCCATGGGTCAAATTGAATGAGCTGGGGGACCATAGATTTAAGACTATGCGTAGTTTATTAACATGTATTCACCATCGAATTCTTGGGGTACCCAGTTTTGACTACCCAAATAATTAGTTATCAAACAAAACAGAAATGAGCAGTCTTCAAGATCCCTCTGTCATTCCATGTCATTCCATGAAATACTGGTTGGTTAATAACAGGACTCCCCGTTCTTGCATTATTATCATCCCCAATACATAAAGTATAATCCCCGAACTAATCATCAACCAACAGGGGTAGAGCTCAGCCGTTCCTCAAATAATGATCACACATTGCCAAACTCTTGCGATCCAACGGAGCCTTTAATTTTGACCCAGACTGACACATCGCAGAGTCCGCTTCTTAAGGTGTTCACTAAGCGTTCACTGCGTTCACTGCGGAAAGTGCGTGCGTCCGTCTCTTAGCTTCAGTTGCAAAGCCATGATATACTGTACCGGTTGGTGGTTTCAATCCCCTGAAAACAGTGGTCAACGGGGATCATTCTTCCAAGTAGGACAGAAAAACATCTCAAACTACCAACCACTACCATAGAACTAGTCAGTTGCCATGTCAAATTGCATGATCACCCTATGACGTCACAAGGTCTAAAGCTACACCTTCCACATCTTTCCAATCATTGCCGGCTCCTGATGGTTTCCCTTGTGATGAATTTGATGGATTATTCATGGCTAACCTCAGGTATTCTCAGGAGCTACTGCGGATATGAGAGACCTGCCATCGAGATCAGTGAATGTTCAAGTGTTCTTGGATGTACATACCTGTCGGTCATTCACCGGATAATTATGGATAATTATGGATAATACAGGATATGGTTAGAGTATGTTAGAGTAAACATCAAACATCCCAAATATTCCCAAAAATCTTTAAACAAAAACATGCATGGTCAAGTGTCCATGCTAGTTTCAAAGACGTCCAAGCGGCTGAACGGCGAGGGCAAGCCCACCAGCGCCAAACATCATCATGAAGCCTGGGGAAAGCCCTTTGGGTGAAGGACCGGGGTTGTTCATAGATATTTCACCATGATGTTATTACATGTTATTACATGTTATCTCGATAGCTTGGGATATCGGGTCCCAAGCGAACATTTAGGCTATGAGTCATCGGGGCCAAAACACCATGGAGTTTTTCCCACGCCCGACTGGGCTGAACGAACCTCAGCTGCGATTGCGGTGAACCACCAAGTACAAGTATAATCTACCCTATGCATCGCTAACGTTTCAAGTCAGGGTCATGGCTGACCATGATCGCCCTGCCAACGTTCCATATTGTCGTGAAGAAAAAGGTCTTAAACACATAATAGATGATAGATGATGATAGTACAAAACAGATGATGCTTAAAATATCATCATGGAAGATCAATCCTACATCAATTAGATAATCTAGTCATCAAAATGGCGTGGGGTGACATGTGTCATGGTGGAAAGCTGCCACCACGGATTTCCACCGGCCTCGTCTTTCCGACATCATGCCACCTTGGCTTCCCAGTGATTACAGACAGAGGTATCAACTAGAAACAAGCACCAATTTTTGGCGCCAAAAAAAAACTCTGCGGTGACAGCTTGGGACATATCCTGAAGATGAAAAAAGCGGTGTGAGATCTGTGATATCACCATTTAAGATTGGTAGCATTAACCTTCACCAAGATTTACCATACTTTGCTCACATAGTAATGATTCGGGCAAACCCCTCAGTTTGCCCGCGCCGACGCCGACGACATGTCCGAACATCAAAAAACACTGTGTTTTGTGGGACAAAATGCACACATCCATGATCATGGCTTTCATCTTGGAACGCACAGCTTAGCTACCTGTGCGTTGAATGTTACAACAACAACATCATCATCCCAATTGAATGTAAAGTTTAGCGGGGGTGGGAATTTAAAATAAATTTACATTCCTAATAGCCTTCTTGATCTTCCCAATTGAATGTAAATGATTATATAATGATTAATTATATAACAATGTCACTCTTGCTTCAAGCCCAACAACCGAGATTCTTTCCCATTGAGACTTAAGACTTCGTGGGATGGGATGCGCCCATGGCCTGTAAGAGCTACATGGATGTGTGTCTAGTGTTAAGAACAAATACTAAATGGTAAATAACAAACAGTAATAGATCCATCATATATCTATGTATATGTAAAAATATATATATATATCCTGTTTCATATTGAGTATATACATGGATCACTTTTAAAACATAATCTATACTGTTTGTTCCAATTTACAACTGGGTGAACTACGAACAGTTTTGTTGATTTAGTTTGATGTACATCCCAGGAATCACAAGTGGTTTATTAGAGCATTAATCTGACTGGGCATATCCCATACGTATTAACTGTAAGGAATATGGTTTGAATACGCATGTATACCATCACTTGGCTATGTACATGTACATTGATCCTGACATACAGTATACTAACTAATGTGAAGAATTACCAATGTCAACCAAGGATCAACAAAATCCCTGGTTGTTTATCTGTGGGGTTGCCATTTTACTAGCCAACTATCATTATTTTGGGGGGAACCCCCGATCCTTGTCCCATCCCATCATACTGCTTGGTCAATAGATACCCCATTATTGTTCAATGTTAATGCCCAGTATTGGGGGGAAAAAAAACTACTATATGAAACATAACCAATCAACAGGGCTATTTTGAACAGCTAATATAAATTCTAAACGGATCAATGAAATTAATTCCCTCTGGCGATTTGGCATTACTATGAAAAGTCACCATTTCAGAAAGTAATTCATCTAGAAATATCTTGGAACTAGCCATATCTAATAGAGAATTCCTCTATAAACAAGCCATTTCCTATAGCAAACTGTTAGGTTTCCAGAGGCCACACTCACCGGCGATTGCACCACTCTCTTGGCTCCGGACACGGCAGAACTCGGCTGCGCAGAAGGTATTGGTAGCCTGGAAGAGGCAATTTAAGCCATGAAAAATTGGAAGTTCATCAACCAAGTGATAATGTTTTTTGACTATTCATGGGACGTATAACATATATATATATATACATATGTGGGTAAGTTACAAGAATTCACTAACCTGAAATATATAAGGCCTTTTGGGGATGATTCCTCTACTAACCATTCTTCCAGTGAGACAGTGAGGTCGGTATAATTTACTCAGATTGTTGATGGATATTGGTTATCACTTCTACAGTAGGTCAATAGCAGCACATAAATCTATATTCATATATACATGTAACCCATATTATTGGTTATCACTATGTGTATATATATATATATAGAGAGAGAGAGAGAGTGCTGCTTGCGACCCCGGTTGGCTGCTGGGGTAGTCCTCCGGGAGGAACACCTTCCAAGATTCTCTACAGTTCGCTGGTTCTCTCCTCGGTGTGTATATACATGTGTATATATATATATATAAATTCGTATATGATTATGCATAAATGGGGGTATCCCCAAAGTGGTTGGCTTTTCTGATGGGAAGATCAGCCAAAAATTGATGATTTTATGGGTACCAGCATTTTAGGAAAGCTCCATACAGGTCCATACTTCCCTTAAATTATATGTAACGTATCTTATACCCTCATAATATTTTATATACAATCACCATCACCAAACTAAGTTTACGGAAGTTGAACCCTTGCGAAATTTCACCAGACGCGATGTTGGACATTCACCTTTTTTCCGGGGATTCAGGAACCATGTTATGGGCGTTTTCGGGTAAAAAGGGGGAGGATCTAACCAAAACCAAGAATTCCATCAACCAACTGAGAACTGCTCCCGACTTTTGGATACTTTTGGACCAAAGCACATAGCCGAAATGAACGACATGAAAGCAACAAGAATGTGGATGGGAAAAAAACACATTGGGGACTCGGCATTCGATCATGGAGTCTGTTCCATTTTAACCAGCACGAAATGGGGATACATGAGGAAACTTAAATATACTTAAGTATGTGACAGATATTCACAGTGCGTGTTGGTCGGTGGTTTCATGCAGACTTTGTCAAACTGCATCCTACTTGGCAGATTCCATATGGCGTAACTTTCATGTGTTTGGTTCTGGCGTAGCTGTTTGGTAGGTAAGTCAGCGTGAAACATCAGTCTTCCACAACCCAGCTGAATGTGAATACCAAAGACCATACGGGTCGTTTCTAAGTAGGGAATGCAATTTTCTGCTTTGTGCAGCTACGTATCGCAACCCCCAAAAACGATGGAAAAACATTTTTTCCAAAACGGTGGCAAACTACGTTTCCATCTTTTTGGGGTTACTCTATAGGTTTAGTTTAGCCATGGCTTGACCAAAAGAAGATCAAACTGCCTGGCTTATCCTGGCTTCACCATTTTTTACTGGTCAACGTGGCTATTCAACTGAACACTGGGTGGTACAAATGTCCACTTATACTTATGATCATGAAAAACATACTCAGAGTCACAAACTACCCTTGACCAATACGGTCCTTCTAGGAACAATGTTTTGGGTCCGGTTTGGTGTAGAGAACCTCATCTACCAATATAGTTGGTTTTCATTGGGAGAACCTTCTCCATGAATCAAGCAGTGGGATTTTAGGACGAATCTATGCCGTTCACAACCCCTGTTGTTGGTGAATAATGTGAATATACCCTATCAGGACATCATATTCCTCATTCGTCGGAGACATTACTTGCAGTCTCACAGTACAGTAACCCCCATCATGTTCTAGATGGGACTCCCTCTTTGTTGGTACAACCCGCGTTTTTTTTTGCTTCACAAACCAATAGGTCGGTTATCCCTGTTCAATCCTAATTGCGGCAACAACACGCTAACACACATTGCTCTACACCCGCCACTTTACCCATTCCATGCTGGCACCGTCTTATGGCCAGTTAAATGGGCTGTCTCAACCACAGGAACCACAATGTCCCATGTTTTACCATAGTTTATCATCAAGTTATCCATTATGAAATCATGACAGAAACCCAAATATGATTATATATTCCATTATATATATATCCTACCAAATCCATCGATATCCAAGTATACATATCCGCCTATTTTTTTTTTAGACCTCCATAAGTTTGTTTGTGACAAAAAAATACTCGTCAAAATGGACCAAGGTTTTCCCATAAAACATCCATTCTTTGTCCTTCAAAGGGTCATGCCCTGTTCTCCTCCAAGCTACATGAGCTGGCACGGTACATCCGGAAGGTGTGTTCCGAGCGCTGCTTTTCCTGCGCGAAAAATGTGAAAAAAAACGTGCCATAGCTCCGATTCGGCCAAAGTTATGGGAGAATAAAACAAACCAAACTTAGGAGTTTTTTGGGGATGTATCACCAAAAATCTATGAAATGGGTTTGCCCACAAGAAAAGCCTTGGATTTGGCCATGGGGCATGTGGGCACCAGGTCCTCGAAGTTGTTAAATGACTTCACCCATGGCCAGAATTGAGCAAAGGAAAGCATGTTTCTAGAAATCTCGGAATTTGACATTTACATTTTTTGAGGAGGTGCCCCTTGTGGATCGAGAACATCTAAAAGAAAAACGCAAATCCAACGATCAAACATACTGATTTTAATCGGATTTAACCCCAAAATAAAATTGTGTTTTATTGTATTGGGAATTAACATGATTTAATGATAATTTATATAGAACATTCTACTGAACCCAACCTTCACGTACAGTTCACCCATCACGCCGATGAAAATGTTCAGGATGAAGACCTTAGCAAGATTGAGAGTAGTAAAATCTCACGAAAAATAGGGATCTACACACATCGAAATCATCGAACAACATAGTATGATTTGAACCAGCAAAAAAAAGGGATTTCGAGTTGTTCACTGGGATGTCTGTCATCAACAAAGATTTGATACATTTAGAGAATTGACAACACTTGAAAAGGCCACTTGACCTCTGTCGTTTAACGATGTTTGATGTTTGGTGGCTTTACAAGATTGGCCTCCCTAGTTTTAAGATGGATTATTTCTCGCATCGGACTGGACTTATGTAAGTTATGTATGTGTATATATATATATATGTATTATATATATACCATGAACATCTCATAGAAACTCAAAGGATAGTTTAATTTCTATAGTCTTTTTGGTGCTGCCATATTTGATTGGTTTACGCAGCAAAAAAAAATGTGGGCGTGTTGTCAAATGTTCTGGCGGACGTGTGATAGTTCATAGATTTTAATCATGATTACAAATATATTTCCCAAAGCAAATCAAAAAACCACTCGTAAAGTCTCATGTTGCTTAGATGAATCCCCTCGTACACTCAGGAGCATCAGCATCAGCATCATCATCACCGTCATCATCATCACCATCATCAGAATCATCGCCGTCAAGGCATCATCGGCCAGGTCACCATGTTCGAAAAACCAAGGTACCGTGAAGAAGGAGACCGCCATGATACAAAGACACAGTTTCACCTGGTGTTCGGACCTCAGGAAAACCAATTGACAAGCCGTCGGACTTGATCGGCGTTTAACGGCTGGGATCACCAATGAATAAAATACTCCCGTAACGGGTTTTTGATGGTCCTGAAAGGTGTATATATATATATAAATATAGAGAGAGAGAGAGCGAGAGCGAGAGCGAGAGAGAGAGAGAAAGAGAGAGAGAGGGAGTCAGTTTAACTATCTATCTAATACTCCAATAGGAGGCCCCAAAATGAATAGATCCGATACCGAACCAGGCTTTCGTTTGGGTGATCTTTCATGTAAGAGGGAAGGGATGAGGTCGTTAGGTTATAGCTATACCACCTGTGATGTGGATCATCATCCCAATTATTGTAGGGATTGACAAGTGGCAACATCTGAAAGCAGAAACCTGCTTGTGACCATGGTTTGTTACTGGTAACCCCCAACGTTTGATGGCTGACCCCTGACAGCAACCTATCACTCACCAACTGTTCCAAAATATCCCACTAGATTCTCATTGGTTGTTGCTAGCTCCCCACATTTTTCCCGAATGCGTAGCAAGGATTCCCGTTTCACTCTGGTCTGGGTTTTGAGGGTGTGTTCGATCAACGTCGCCTTTACGGTCGCAACCGTTCGCGGGCGACCGCGTGAGGGCCGTATAGCGAGTTCTGCAAAAGTGGTCACTTTTGGAGGCTTACAATCCTGCATAGCCTAGGTTGTAATGTCGTTTTGCGTGGTAGGCGTGGCACTTCCTGACATTGTCACGTGTCTCCAAACGTGCCGAAAATACTTGTGTGTGGCGGGTGCAATACTTTTGCAAGGCTTTCGGTAGATGAGCTGCATTTTGCGTGGCCGGCGCAGCACTTTAGATGTGTCGCGCTGCGTGTTTTTCGCGAATCGCAGTCACGGCTGCGTGTGCAGTGGTGACAACGTGGAACGTGGCAGGCGTGGCATTTTGTGCATTGCCGCGGCTGCGTGAAGTGGTGACACGGTGTAACTTGCGTGGCAGGCGTGGGACATCGTGAGCGCATCATTTTGCGTGGCAGGCGCAGTAGTTCGGACCCTGTACACTCTACACATTCAACACCACACTCTGCACTTTCAACTCCTCACTCTACACTCCGCACTTTGCACTTTACACTCTACACTCCACACTCCATGCTCTACACACCGCACTCTACACTCCACACTTTACACTTTACACTCCACACTCTACACTGTACACTCCACACTTTACACTCCACACTTTACACTTCAAACCTTACACTCCACACTTTACACTTTACACTCCACACTTTACACTCCACACTTTACACTTTACACTCCACACTCTACACTTTCCACTTTACACTTTGCAATCCACACTCTACACTTCACACTTTCCACCCCACACCTTTCACTTCACACTCTACACTTTACACTCCACACTCTACACTCCACACTCTACACTTTGCACTCCACACTTTACACTTTACACTCCACATGCTACACTTTACCCTGTCCACTTTACACTTTGCACTCCACACTCTACACTTCACACTTTCCTCCCCACACCTTTCACTTCACACTTCACACTTCGCACTCCACAATCCCCACTTCACACTCTACATACTACATTCCCCACTCAACACTTCACCTTCTTCACACCACATACTTTCCACTCCACCGTCTTCTGCCTTGCAGAGTCTACAGTGCACTGGTACGGTAACAGGGGAAAAATGCACAAGACTGTTCAAATAATTTGTTTCACAGAAGTGTTTTACTGCATTCGGGTTCGTGGGCTGCATCTTGTTTGTTTTTTCGTTGGTCGCTCGGCGACAAAGGCACGAATTGGTCGAAATATCCGGAGGGAGCGCTGCGGTGATCAGGGTCGCGAAGGTCTCAAAGACAACATCCATCATACTCTCAACCTGCCATGGCTGCGGGTTTCCAAAATGGAAAGGGGTACAACCAATGGATTGATGGTTTATTTCATGGACAACCCTATTGAAAAAATGGACGATTTGGGGGTACCCATTTTTTAGGAAACCTGCCAAATGATGCCACAGTTCAAACTACCCAAACTACATCCAGCCGTAGCCAAACTGATAATTTGGCCTATGATTTCACGGATAAGCCGTTCCTTCTAAGGAAGTCTCTGGATCCATAGGGCAAGCTAAGCTGGTTTACGATTTTTTTATAGGTTGACGGATAAGTTTGCTGGGTGGCCTGGGGAAAACCTCTGAAAACTAAGGTGACCCAGTGGTGTTTTTCCAGATTGTTTTTTGCGAATAACCCATAACAGGAACACTACTTGGGGTGCAGTTCCACTGATGAATAACCATACTTGTAGGGGTTCTATCCCAACTTATTGAGGCTTGTACCTCTACCCATGAATATATACGTAACCCCAATTGCACCCCAAGTATGAACCAACATAATAGAAACCTGATTGGGTTTTACCAAGGTCAAGCATGCTTCACCCCAACCCCCCAACCCAAGGGAAATATCTAGGAGGAAACACCAAATGGAAACCCATGTCTGTATGGCAAAAATATCTACAACATCTGAGGGTGATAGAAACCTTATTCAGAATAAGCAAGTACACATCCTACATACAGCCTTTTAATTGTAAAATACGTCCCAGATCAGCTACCTGATATGATCCCAATCATCCGCTAAGCATCTCAATTTACATGCGACATTCAAAACGCCGTGAGTAATGGTTCATTTTGGCATTAAACTCCGGTAGGGGACCTGTGCGTCATTGCACAAGTCATCCTGACCCCTCACATGCGAAAACATACGTTCAAAAAACTAGAAGCATGAACCTATATAAACCCTAAGCCCCAAACCTTCAAAACCACACAATAATCAAAAACTGGGAACCTCAACCCTTAAACCATATCAAACACAATTGTTTAAACCCAAAAATTTTGAAAACCTAGGGCCTGGCCGTCATGTTGGGGGAGTGAGGCGTTTGGGCGCAACGACCTCTATTAGTGGGGCATGGGTCAAATGACCGAAAAACAGCTGAAAAAAAAAAAACGCAAACAAAGATTGGATTTTAACCCAGCAAAAATCAAGGTTTCAAACAACAGTGCGGCAATGGTTTCTGCTCACGGCACCAAGACGGCGCTATGAATTTCAGCCAGTTGAAATGACAGCATTGAATGCCAGATTTGGCCCAACAGGCCCATCCCCTCAGCCCACAGTCTTTCATTGCACGTTGACCTACCATCGCCCCACGAATTCCTGCGACAACCGCGCAAACCCGGCCTTCGGACCACCATTCACAAGGTAAAACCTCGGCACGGCCGTGCGACTGACGCCTGAAGTTTCCGTCCGACGTGTTTTGAAAAGCAAAGGACATCTCAATCAATCCAAAGGTTTCTGAGTGTTTCTGTGCTGAACACTGAAATCCGACGCTTTTCTGGTTTTTTTTGGTACGTTACTTCAAATTTCTGGAGTGGCAAGTTTGGTGGGCCTGCTTAAGCCTACATCCACCAACTCGATTTGTTAGCTTTGCAGCAAAGCGCCCGCTGCCGCAAGCAAGTCGCCGGTCCAGGCCGCTGCGTAAATTGACGGCAAGAATGCGTGAGTGTACCGCGCTTGCACATGAGAAAATCTAAGGAAGTGAAGGCCGATCCCCTAAGAGCGACAACCACTGATGATTCCTGCTAGGATCCTCCTATGCAACTTGCCATACTCCTGGGCTGCAACAACATGTGGACGCTTCATCGATTTGATTCGAAATTCCAATTTCTGTTGGGGCTGGCTGGCCCTTGCCCATCTCAGGCTCATCTTGCTCTCCTGCTTGAATCAGACCTGTAACTCAACTACCGGGATAAATCCCCAAACAAGTCTATTGCATCTTACATTCAAACACATTCCATGGATGTCAGTCCGCTGTCAGTTGAGAAGCCATTTTTTGTCAGTTGCTCCTATTGGTCTTCTGGATCATTGGTCAAAAACCGGACCCCCAGGCTCAAAAATCTCGATTCATGGGATCATTTGCCATCATTATTCTACACAATGGTGGTCCCCCAGAGCTGGTTTGCCATGTTTTTTTAGAGCTAGGTTTGCAAGGTTGTATGAATGCGTGTAAATTGATATAATATATACCAAAAGTTGGAAGTGTGAAGCAGTGAAGCCAACTTATGACTGGCCGGAGAGGGGCAGTTCTTTTCGTGTTGATACTATATAGCTAGGGTGTTGGCAGGACCGGGGAAGGATCTAACTTTGGATCTTCCATAAAAAACAAAGAAAATCAAGCTTCCGTGGGACATGAGAATTTTCTTCATTTAGGTATGTCCAAAATTTGGGTATACCACCCGTGAGTGCACCTTATTGCCATGTCAATAACATACAAAGGGTCCAAGAGAACACCCAGTGTAAAAAAAAACAGGTTTCAACGACGGCATACTCCTTTCCAACATTCACCAAGGATTCACCACTTGTCCACTAGTGCCTGCGATCGGCCTCCAGCTGGACTGAAAATAGGTAAAAGACCATGGAAAGTGGGTGAAAACGACCATGTTTCATCATCTCAGAAAATCATATACAGATGGTTTTCCATGTTCCATGACTATGTCAGATTACCAGGCTATGTGATTAATCGTCTCAGTGAATTACATGAAAATCACCATTAAATCCCATTGGTATCCAGTAATCATATATCGACAATGAGTCCAAACTACTTGATATGAACCACTTCAGGGGTCTATGAGTTTATAGCCACGGCACACCAGGGACGGTCCATGTCTGGACTCTTCATGAAAAATCGTGTGAAAACCGGAGACCACGCTGGATCCGTGGAAAATCTTCAACAATCAGTGGTTCCATTTGGGTATTTGTCAAAAACATAAGACCCAGGGGACCATAGAACTTAACCTATTGCTATAGTATTAACCATTTAATTTCTGCGGTCGAGTTTGACCCAGTCACCCATTTCGGTTTTGCCCAGGAACGCATGTGTGAAGGCGCAGAACGCCACAAGGGTGACCGCCAGGGCCGGAAGTAAACCCATGGCCATTTTCCTGCGAAGTCAGATAGCCTAAAATTTGGCGACAGATCATAGGAATATGGGGATTGTATGGGATAGTAATGGGATAGTACCAACAAACATGGGATAGGAAAACCATAGCGGGGGACAACCTATTTTTCATGTGGATTTAATGAATATAGTGGTGGATTTTACCAACAAGAATGGAAAAATGGAAAACCAATCACACTGGGATATAATGGATTGGTTTAGGGGATAATTTAGAGGAGGCCTCTTTATTTGCTGGTAAAACCCATGGTTTCCAGTTTCGGCTTTCCCTTAAACCAATCCAATGATACAAAGGACAGCGTAGTGGGGACACAATGGGGGGGATATAATGCGGAAGTTGGGGGATATAATGGGGATATCATTGGTTTCACCGGATTGTATTATCAATTGAACTAACCATATTGTAGAATATATCAATAAACAATGACAATATTTAAAAATCATGACAGGATGTGCATCCCAATCAGTAGATAAGCGTATCCTCATCCTGAAAATGCAAAGGGGGTGGCTGTTGCCATGCCTGGTGCCACGGGTCGAAGTAACAGACCTTTGCTGAGTTGGTGAATGACATAAGGAAATTGAATGACCTGTTGAAACATATTAAATGCGTTAGCGACAAAATTCAGTAACTTTTCTTAGTGTTCTACTGTTTTACCGTTGGCCGCAATGATTGATGTTGCCAGTAGTACTGCACAAGGCGGTGGCGGAAGTTTCAAAACTAGGAAACCCCTAGGAGAGGTTGGTTGTTGTGAATCACGGATGGCGGAGCGAATCCACTGATGGACCGACAGGTGGTTGCAATGGTTGCAGTTGTAGTTGCAGTTGTAGCTGTAGTTGTAGTGTAGTGGAGCTGTAGCTGTAATGTAGTGTAATTATTTTTTTGGCAAGTGCGGTTGCAGTTGTAGTCGTGGTGTGGTGTAATTGTTGTAGCGTAGTGCAGTGCAATGTCGTGTAGCGTCGTGTAGTGTAGTGTGGTATAGTGTAGTGTAGTCTAGTGTAACGTAGTGTAGTTGTAGTTGTAGCGTAGTGCAGTGTAATTAGTGTAGTGTAGTGTCGTGTAGTGTAGTATGTGTAGCGTCGTGTAATGTAATGTAGTGGTAGTTGTAGTTGTAGTTGCAGCTGCAACTGTAGTTGTAGTGTAATGCAATGTAATGAGTGTAGTGTGGTGTTGTGTAATGTAGTGCGGTTGTAGCTGTAGTTGTATTTGTAGCTGTAGTGTGCTGCAGTGGAATTAGTGTAGTGTAGTGTAGTTGTAATTGTAGTTGTAGTTGTGGTAGTAGTTGTTGGTGTAATTCTTGTAGTGTAGTGTAATTAGATGATCAGATGTAATTATTGTAGTGTAGTGAAATTTAGTGTGTATTTGCATTTGTAGCTGTAGCAGTAGTGAGTGTTGTGTAGTGTAGTGGTAGTTGTAGTTGTAATTGTCTATCTATCTATCTATCTATCTGTCTGTCTGTCTGTCTGTCTGTCTGTCTGTCTATATATCTATCTTTAAGCTTGACAACGGAGCTATTCTGCGAGACTTCCTCAGTTGTTGAACTTGACAACGTCAAAAACGAAACAATTCTGCGAGACTTCCTCAGTTTTTGAACTTGACAACGTCAAAAACGAAACAATTCTGCGAGACCATCAATTTTTGAACTTGACAACATCAAGAACGAAACTATTCTGCGAGACTTCCTCAATTTTCGACGTTGACAGCATCAAAAACGAAGCAATTCTGCGAGACGTCCTTCAAAAATGGAAAGTTGAGTGCAGAGCTGACGGCCTCGTACCAATACGTTTTGCTATTTTTCAACTCCACCTGTCTAAAGTACTGCGCCCGCCACGAAAAAGTGATGCCAGGTCATACGAAGTGCTGCACGTGTCACGCAAAATCATCTCAGCAAACTTGAAGATCTGATCTGATGCTCCAAAATGTAACCTCTCTCAGTAAATCAGCGCCCGGACCTCCTAACAGCTCTGATGAACATGTCTCTTGTACTGCACCTGCCACGGAAAATGCATCTTTGCAGATCCTCTGCATATGTCCCACGCCTGCCATCGTTTTTGGACATGCTATAAAATCTTCACGTTTTGCTCACTTTTGAATTTTGACCAGGTGCACAATCCCCTGCGCCTGCCACGCAAAACGACATTTAAACGTCCAAAAGTGCTCCGAACCCGTCAGTTTTTTACACTTTTGACTTGGGAAATGTGCTTCGCGCCACAACAGCGTACACTTTTTCGACATCTAAACGTCCAAAAGTGCTCCGAAACCGTCAGTTTTTACACTTTTGACTTGGAAATGTGCTTCGCGCCACAACAGCGTAAACTTTTTCGACATCGCAACTTCAAAAAAAATCTGAACCCGTTAGTTTTTTTACACTTTTGACTTGGAAATGTGCTTCGCGCCACAGCGGCGTGCAACTTTTCATCTCTCATCTGACCACATGGCTCCGCACCCGTCGCTTTAGCGAGCCTACTTTTCGACCCTCCTGAGCCACAAATCATTGGAAAAACACAGTGTTTCGCGACTTTCCTACCTTTTCGCGCACCTGGATCTTCTTTCTTCGGAGACTTTCTCTTTTTTGATCATCTTTCTTCTTCTCTTCTCTTCTCTGACTCTTCCCACCTCTGCTTTTCATTTGTCCAAATATTGGAAGTTTGACTTCTAAACTTTCTTCGAACATATGTTAACTCTTGTTGTTCATTGGTTGCCTATGGAGGAACTTGTATACAGTAAGTGGGGAAGTATCACTTTGTATGACCTAGAGAATGATTATATATCATCCCAATTATCCCAGGAAAACTATGGAACAGGCAGCCAGTACTGACAGGGGTGGTCCAAACTCAATATTTATATATTGGTTTGGAGTTTGGGGTTTAATCAACTCAAAGCAACAGGTAGTCAAAGTGTTGGGTCCCAAGAGGCGTTCAATTCATCTTCTCACGTTTCACTTATTCTTGGAAAATACCATCAAATGCCACTTACAATGAACACGTTGGAGGCATTTGCAGGTGTATGCTACTGTCATGCAGAAATGAGTGTATGAATAGATATGAATAGTATGTCCCATCCCGCCAACATTGAATACCCTCACTACGGGACCCCAAAATGAATGGATTTCAATACTGCTGGATTTCAGGGGGTTCAGGATTACAAGGCAGCAATTAATAGTAATTTAATGCGATTAACCGAATTCAGGAGTTCAACAAAATCGTTGGATCATTTATTCATCAAATATTGATTTTTAACAATGAACCCAACCAACATTATGTAGATGTTCATCAACAAAACGTGTTTTCTTCATGACGCCAGCAATATTTACCAGCAAAAAAAATGATTTTGCGATTTAATCAACAAATGATTCTACCAAAAAGTGGGCTCAACCAACCAATCGTCCTCGGATGTAAACGGCCAACGTGATTTCTTTGGATGGGGATGCTCAAAAGTTCCAGAGTTGACTATAGCTATATAATGCTACTGTATATAACAACGTCCCTTTGGGTATCGAACATGGCAAGTTGGGAAATCCCTTTTGATTGGAAGTTTCCAGCTGGGAAAATCATTGTTTTTTTTTAATTAAATAGTGGATTTTCCAGCAAGCTACGTTTGAGCAAACCGGAGGGTATAACAACAACATCAACGGATTGATCTGGTTTTTACCATGAAAAAAAAGGGGGGTCGTGCAGATATTCCCTTCGTCCACTTCTGTTGACAATGGCAATAAACTCAAGAAAAAACTCTTGCAGCTGATTCATGACTGAACATTGGAACCGGCAAAACCGGTTAAGGTTCTCCGCATCTTTTTCTACGTCAGGGCTTTGTATAAATCATCTAAATCAATGGTAAATCAAATCAGCAATCAGCATGACTCTACCAAATGTCAGGGTTCATGTCAGCAGTTGAGTATAATCAGATATAATTTATAATATACTCATTATCAAATCAGCATTTTTCAAATTCCCTATATGGAAATCCCCGTTTTTGGATTCACCCAAGTTGGCCGTTTGTTGGTGGCTCCTGATGGGCAAAATCTCCAATCCGATGAACTCGGCTGAGGTGAAACAGTCCAACAACCTGTCTGGAAAATCATCCACGATTTCTGGTAGATCCACATCGAACATGTTTACGAAAATCCCCATAGGGTTGCCGCAAATGTCCATTGAGTGTGACCTACCTAAACCCTCGGGCCGAGTCGTTCCTTCTTATTTTCTGGCTGGTTGAGGTTAAGGATTTCCCAGCTCATGGATTGTGACCATCCCGAATACATAAAGGATAGCACAAGCCCATCTAGCAACAGGGGTTTCCAAAACAGGATATTTACCAACCCCCTGATTAAGGGCCAGGTGCTTTTGGAAAATCACCTTCGGTTCGCAATAAAGCTTTGTAAACAACTTAGAAAAATGATTTATCATCCATGATTGTTCTGGATTTGTTGAAAACCGTTTATAGTTTTCCTAACACACGGATGATCATCGAGTGGATGGGAACTGCTTCTTCTAAGCCTGGTGATCACAAGTCCAAAATGGGTGGTGTTACCCTCACATGGAAATGGGGGGTTTCTTTAACTAAAGGATCCTATCTATAGGGGACCCCAAGACCCCAACTAATCATCCAAGTTCTTGGTCTTCTTTGAGAGGAAACCAATGGCTTGCAGCGTTGCAGGTACGCCCAAGTCATAGAACATATATATATATATAATCCATCAATGTCACCTGTGCTGGAAATTCATGTTCATACTAATAGTCCTATTGTTCGCACGGTAACATCTGGGCATAGCAACCCAAAAAAATACAGTTTTTTTCAGGATGGTAAAGATATGTAAAGATGATGTTCCCCCCGCAATTCCAGGCTTCCAATTATTCTATCCGTTTAGAGGGTGCTCTACCCTTTTGAGAAACGCCGAACATACGGTGAACAAACTGAGGTGAAACACTCACCGGGATGATGAAAAATCCAGAGCTACTTGTCAGATTCCCGATAGAAACAGCAAGGCAAAATCAACCATAAACACAAATGGACTTATCCCAAAGAAGTTTGTGAACTAAACACCCAACGTTTTTCATTTTTTTACGTGGACGTAGCCAGCAAGTTGTTTGTTCGAATTTCTGATGAAAACCATTTGATGGAAAATCGGGCACCCCCTAAATCGATTGGTATATCATCGTTTTTCCCTGTTTAGGCAAGTCTAGAAATACCTCATCGGCAGAAGCGGTTTCAAGCCCCACTCTGAGGATCACCATGGTCCCTTCCTTCGTGATGGAAGTAAACAAAAAATAGCAACGGAGAATCGCGTATGTTCAATGTCCGCCGACCCCGGCCTTCGCCAAGGCCGGGGCGGCGCCTGGGACCACCGCAGGTGTGGAACTTTTCCTTCTTAGCTTTCCAAGGTCAAACCACATCGCGTAAACCTTCTCCTGGCATGCGTCCTCCAATTCCTTCGCGGCAGCTTCCACCAAGCCTAGCCGTCAGCCTTTGCTGCTCCAGGGTTGCAGCCTGCCCTTTGCCTGCACATCCCTCGCGGCAGCTTCCACCAAGCTCTTGGCCGTCAGCGTTCCAGCATTGCAGCCTGCCCTTTGCTTGCACATAGCCCTCTCTTGTTAGGGCATTCGAGCCTGCCGTTTGCCAGGCTTCAAACCCCTAAAATGCCTAAAACGCCTAAAACCCTCCTTTGCCTGCACATAGCCTGTCTTGTTAAGGCATTCGAGCCTGCCGTTTGCCAGCTTCAAACCCCTAAAACCCCTACAACCCCTAAAACCCTCCAATGCGTTCGTGGCAGCTTCCACCAAGCCTAGCCGTCAGCCTTTGCTGCTCCAGGGTTGCAGCCTGCCCTTTGCCTGCACATCCCTCGCGGCAGCTTCCACCAAGCTCTTGGCCGTCAGCGTTCCAGCATTGCAGCCTGCCCTTTGCCTGCACATAGCTCTCTCTTGTTAGGGCATTCGAGCCTGCCGTTTGCCAGGCTTCAAAACCCTAAAACCCCTAAAACCCCTAAAATGCCTAAAACGCTCCTTTGCCTGCACATAGCCCTCTCTTGTTAGGGCATTCGAGCCTGCCGTTTGCCAGGCTTCAAACCCCTAAAATGCCTAAAACCCTCCTTTGCCTGCACATAGCCCTCTCTTGTTAAGGCATTCGAGCCTGCCGTTTGCCAGGCTTCAAACCCCTAAAACCCCTACAACCCCTACAACCCTCCAATTCCTTCGCAGCAGCTTCCACCAAGCCTAGCCGTCAGCCTTTGCTGCTCCAAGGTTGCAACCTGCCCTTTGCCTGCACATCCCTCGCGGCAGCTTCCACCAAGCTCTTGGCCGTCAGCGTTCCAGCATTGCAGCCTGCCCTTTGCCTGCACATAGCTCTCTCTTGTTAGGGCATTCGAGCCTGCCGTTTGCCAGGCTTCAAACCCCTAAAATGCCTTTGCCTGCACATAGCCCTCTCTTGTTAGGGCATTCGAGCCTGCCGTTTGCCAGGCTTCAAACCCCTAAAACCGCTAAAACCCTCCAATTCCTTCGCGGCAACTTCCACCAAGCCTGGCCGTCAGCCTTTGCTGCTCCAGGGTTGCAGCCTGCCCTTTGCCTGCACATCCCTCGCGGCAGCTTCCACCAAGCTCCTGGCCGTCAGCGTTCCAGCATTGCAGCCTGCCGTTTGCCTGCACATAGCCCTCTCTTGTTAGGGCATTCGAGCCTGCCGTTTGCCAGGCTTCAAACCCCTAAAACCCCTAAAATGCCTAAAACGCTCCTTTGCCTGCACATAGCCCTCTCTTGTTAAGGCATTCGAGCCTGCCGTTTGCCAGGCTTCAAACCGCTAAAAGCCCTAAAACGCCTAAAACCCTCCCTTGCCTGCACATAGCCCTCTCTTGTTAAGGCATTCGAGCCTGCCGTTTGCCAGGCTCCAAGCCCCTAAAACCCCTAAAACCCCTAAAACCCTCCAATTCCTTCGCGGCAGCTTCCACCAAGCCTAGCCGTCAGCCTTTGCTGCTCCAGGGTTGCAACCTGCCCTTTGCCTGCACATCCCTCGCGGCAGCTTCCACCAAGCTCTTGGCCGTCAGCGTTCCAGCATTGCAGCCTGCCCTTTGCCTGCACATAGCTCTCTCTTGTTAGGGCATTCGAGCCTGCCGTTTGGCAGGCTTCAAACCCCTAAAACCCCTAAAATGCCTAAAACCCTCCTTTGCCTGCACATAGCTCTCTCTTGTTAGGGCATTCGAGCCTGCCGTTTGCCAGGCTTCAAACCCCTAAAATGCCTAAAACCCTCCTTTGCCTGCACATAGCCCTCTCTTGTTAGGGCATTCGAGCCTGCCGTTTGCCAGGCTTCAAACCCCTAAAATGCCTAAAACGCCTAAAACCCTCCCTTGCCTGCACATAGCCCTCTCTTGTTAAGGCATTCGAGCTTGCCGTTTGCCAGGCTTCAAACCCCTAAAACCGCTAAAACCCTCCAATTCCTTCGCAGCAGCTTCCACCAAGCCTAGCCGTCAGCCTTTGCTGCTCCAGGGTTGCAGCCTGCCCTTTGCCTGCACATCCCTCGCGGCAGCTTCCACCAAGCTCTTGGCCGTCAGCGTTCCAGCATTGCAGCCTGCCCTTTGCCTGCACATAGCTCTCTCTTGTTAGGGCATTCGAGCCTGCCGTTTGCCAGGCTTCAAACCCCTAAAATGCCTAAAACCCTCCTTTGCCTGCACATAGCCCTCTCTTGTTAGGGCATTCGAGCCTGCCGTTTGCCAGGCTTCAAACCCCTAAAACCCCTAAAACCACTAAAACCCTCCAATTCCTTCGCGGCAGCTTCCACCAAGCCTAGCCGTCAGCCTTTGCTGCTCCAGGGTTGCAGCCTGCCCTTTGCCTGCACATCCCTCGCGGCAGCTTCCACCAAGCTCTTGGCCGTCAGCGTTCCAGCATTGCAGCCTGCCCTTTGCCTGCACATAGCTCTCTCTTGTTAGGGCATTCGAGCCTGCCGTTTGCCAGGCTTCAAACCCCTAAAACCCCTAAAACGCCTAAAACCCTTCTTTGCCTGCACATAGCCCTCTCTTGTTAAGGCATTCGAGCCTGCCGTTTGCCAGGCTTCAAACCGCTAAAAGCCCTAAAACGCCTAAAATCCTCCCTTGCCTGCACATAGCCCTCTCTTGTTAAGGCATTCGAGCCTGCCGTTTGCCAGGCTTCAAACCCCTAAAACCCCTAAAACCCTCCAATTCCTTCGCGGCAGCTTCCACCAAGCCTAGCCGTCAGCCTTTGCTGCTCCAGGGTTGCAACCTGCCCTTTGCCTGCACATCCCTCGCGGCAGCTTCCACCAAGCTCTTGGCCGTCAGCGTTCCAGCATTGCAGCCTGCCCTTTGCCTGCACATAGCCCTCTCTTGTTAGGGCATTCGAGCCTGCCGTTTGCCAGGCTTCAAACCCCTAAAACCCCTAAAACCCCTAAAACGCCTAAAACCCTCCTTTGCCTGCACATAGCCTCTCTTGTTAAGGCATTCGAGCCTGCCGTTGCTTCAAACCCCTAAAAGCCCTACAACCGCTAAAACCTTCCAATTCCTTCGCGGCAGCTTCCACCAAGCCTGGCCGTCAGCCTTTGCTGCTCCAGGGTTGCAGCCTGCCCTTTGCCTGCACATCCCTCGCGGCAGCTTCCACCAAGCCTCTAGCCGTCAGCGTTCCAGCATTGCAGCCTGCCCTTTGCCTGCACATGCACATCCTCGCGGCACTTCAAGCTCCTGGCCGTCAGCCCTAAAATGCCTAAAACCCCCTTTGCCTGCACATAGCCCTCTCTTGTTAGGGCATTCGAGCCTGCCGTTTGCCAGGCTTCAAACGCTTCAAACCCCTAAAACCCCTAAAACCCTCCAACTCCCTCGCGGCAGCTTCCAAGAAGCCCTCTGGCCGTCAGCCTTTGCTGTTCCAGGGTTGCAGCCTGCCCTTTGCCTGCACATCCCTCGCGGCAGCTTCCACCAAGCTCCTGGCCGTCAGCGTTCCAGCATTGCAGCCTGGCCTTTGCCTGCACATAGCCCTCTCTTGTTAGGGCCTTCGAGCCTGCCGTTTGCCAGGCTTCAAACCCCTAAAACGCCTAAAACCCTCCTTTGCCTGCACATAGCCCTCTCTTGTTAAGGCATTCGAGCCTGCCGTTTGCCAGGCTTCAAACCGCTAAAAGCCCTCAAACGCCTAAAACCCTCCCTTGCCTGCACATAGCCCTCTCTTGTTAAGGCATTCGAGCCTGCCGTTTGCCAGGCTTCAAACCCCTAAAAGCCCTAAAACCCCTAAAACCCTCCAATTCCTTCGCGGCAGCTTCCACCAAGCCTAGCCGTCAGCCTTTGCTGCTCCAGGGTTGCAGCCTGCCCTTTGCCTGCACATCCCTCGCGGCAGCTTCCACCAAGCTCTTGGCCGTCAGCGTTCCAGCATTGCAGCCTGCCCTTTGCCTGCACATAGCTCTCTCTTGTTAGGGCATTCGAGCCTGCCGTTTGCCAGGCTTCAAACCCCTAAAACGCCTAAAACGCCTAAAACCCTCCTTTGCCTGCACATAGCCCTCTCTTGTTAAGGCATTCGAGCCTGCCGTTTGCCAGGCTTCAAACCCCTAAAAGCCCTACAACCCCTAACTCTATCTCTCTACCTATCTCTCCATCCATCCATCCATCCATCCATCCATCCATCCATCCATCCATCCATCTATCTCTCTCCCTCTCTCTGCAGGACCCCCCAAATTGGGGGGGTCGGCGGCACCCGGGCGCTAGCCCATTCTATAAAATTCACCGATGCATGGATATAGTGGAGCTAAACTGATTCAAGCCAAGCCCTTGGAATCACTGAAATGTGGGTTCTTTTAGTTTGAAGTATCCCATTGAAAGGCTGCCAAAGGTTCATCCTGAATGTGTGCTGAAAGACTGATTTAAGATGATTTAAGGCCCGACTGGTCAGGTTTTCCGTTCCCTTTTTCCAGGACTTGGGCGTTGTGTTTCCCGGTTGACGGGTTGCCAAATCGGGAAATATTGAGGGATATCAGATATGGGTATGGATCAATACCTATTAATACCATTTTTAGGGGAATGAACATCCATTTACCAGCTATTTTGATGTTCACCAGGGGTACAAGGTTTTGACACACTGCCATTTTCTTCCATGGCAAATCATTAACCCATCAACCATCATCAACCTACCAATCCGCACTCCGCCGTATTTTGATGGTGAAATGAAATTCCTCGTTTTGCTGGTTAAACCACCAGGTTTGATTCTTATGCAATTGAGGCAACCACAGCCAATCTTACCCTGCAAAAAAATGTTTTGATGATTGGTATATTGCTCCATTTACAGCAGGGATTTTAGAGGGAGCCACCCTACTGAACAACCACCAAACACACCACTCACGACCCACCAATTTGGCACCTGCACCAGTACAAAAACACGGCGCAGATCAGGATCTAAGCGTTCAGAAAAGAGTTTAAATGAAGTTTTCGGAAGATCCGTTTCTTGCATGGCAGGCATGGCAGAGATGTGGAGACTTTGGTGATTTCGGATCTCCATTTCAAGGTTGGACTCCAATTTCGATTGCTTCGATAACTGGCTAAGCCACCCGGACAAAACAACAAAGAACTGGATTTGTCTGATGTTTGCCCAAAGTCCAATGGTTCATCATCAATCATCCATGAAATGAGGTATTGACCATTTTTGAAGGCAAACAAAGCTCACAAAACCGAGTCGAAGCTCAGAAGCCTGAGAAACTGAGGAGATATATCCCACCACGAACGAATCGATCATTTATCATCATTTATATGCTTATGGGTCAAAACCCTGGTACCCTAGGTACCCTTAAATAGCTGGTTGATAGATTGTTATTCCCAAAAAATATGGTAAGGATAGCTTTTGACCCATCCCCATATTCACTTGTCCGATCTGAAACATTAATAAATTGCGAGCACTCAGCAACGAGATTGGATACTAGCATCCACTATCATCCAGGGTCAGAACACCCAACAAAAATCTCCCATGACTCATATTGAATGTTGGTGGCAGTGTGATTGCCCTATCCTACAGTTTCTGGAAGGATCTCAAGTGACTAGGCCACTGATCCACTCCATGTACATCCAGAAACCATGGATGGGATTCCTTCCAAGCGCTTGGGCTCAGGCCATCGTGTTGTCTGGGTTCAAAAATAATAACCTCGGTGGGGCGGATCTGCTGAAAGGGCAATTGAAGCTCTCTACGGTAGCGAAGACTGATTGAGGCTACTCGGTCAATCTTGACGCTTGAAAACGCCGCAAGCCAAAACATGTATTACATATATATATATATATATAATATTGATATATGGTGCATATAATATAATATATATATATATGTGATTTTCCTCAGCCCCTTCAAGCCCCTGAAAACAAAATGCCCAAAAAAAACACGTGGCCCTCCACCGCTCCGGGTGCTCCGGGTGCTCCGGGTGCTCCGGGTGCTCCGGGCATTGGAAAACAGGAGCAAACCATATCAAGCCTAGGCCGAATGGAGACACCCCATGATGATCTCGAAGCCATGGCCATGGGTCAAAATTGGGGAACCCTACAATGGATGATAATTCATTACACTAATCAAACATCTATTTAAAAAAAAAAAAAACAGTAAATTTAATTAAAGTATCAAAAGACCTATTTATAAAATTCTATAAACCCTTGGTGTCTGAAATTTTGACCCATACCGAAATTTGGGAACTATGACAACAGGATTTTGACCATGATGATAATTAGGACATAGTCAAACATGATGGGAAACCGATCAGAGGCTAATTCTTTCCAGACTTGTGCGCCAAAAATCCCCTCACTGAATTTGGCTTTGTCTGAAATTGAGGCATCCTAAAAAGTGCCCATAATTTATAAATCATGTCTTTCTTCAATTCCAATGTCAGTTGTGGGGGCCATTTCAGGACCCATTTGGCAACACTTGAGACTTGAGGATAGCACACCCCAAAATTGTGTGAATCATCCAAGATAATCAGGAGGAAAGCCAGCTTCATTTGCTTAGGCCGAATCATCTTGCCGGTTGAGGAGATTCTGGGCAGTTTGGATAGTAGGAGAAATCCATCACAAAAGGAACCAGCTTCTTGCTGTCGAAGAATTGACCACTGCTCAGTGCTGCCGCAGCTTCCACAAGCCTCGCTGAAGTGATCAAGCTAAGCTGTGATCTGTACTTTATCTTCAAGCCCCTGCACAGTGGCTCGACTGCTAAAACAAGTCGCTTGGAGGCCAGCTCGAAATAGGCCCCACTGAAGTCGGACTTGCCGAGCATGGATATCAATCCACCAATCCCCAAGTGGGATAAAGGCAAGAGAAGATATGTTTTGAAGGTCCCAAATTCAATATTCAAGCATATTCGAGCTATATTGTGTGTCAAGAAAAGATTCAGCCATTGGCCAGCCAAAAATGAATGTTTACACACTGAAAGCATTTCCTGGGGTACAGTATACACCTGGGTACACGCATACAAGACCAACAAACTAGACAGTTTACCATGGTGATACTGTGGATGGTCCCGAAATCCTGCACCAGTTGGCAAATTGTTTATCCATTGTTTATCCTTTGATTATCAAGTGTTTATCCTTTGATGATCAAGTGTTTATCCTTTGATTATCAAGTGTTTATCATTTGTTTATCCATTGTTTATCCTTTGACTATCAAGTGTTTATCCTTTGCTTATCAAGTGTTTATCCTTTGGTTATCCATTGTTTATCCTTTGATTATCAAGTGTTTATGCTTTGATTATCAAGTGGTTATCCTTTGTTTATCCATTGTTTATCCTTTGATTATCGGTTGTTTATCCATTGTTTATCCTTTGTTTATCCTTTGTTTATCCATTGTTTATCCTTTGATTACAAAGTGTTTATCCTTTGATTATCAAGTGTTTATCCTTTTATTTATCAATTGATTATCCATTGTTTATCCTTTGTTTATCCTTTGTTTATCCTTTGTTTATCCTTTGATTATCCTTTGTTTATCCTTTGATTATCCAGTGTTTATCCTTTTTTTATCCATTGATTATCCAGTGTTTATCCTTTGATTATCCAGTGTTTATCCTTTTTTTATTCATTGTTTATCCATTGTTTATCCATTGTTTATCCTGTGTTTATCCTTTGCTTATCCTTTGTTTATCCTTTGTTTATCCTTTGTTTATGCTTTGTTTATCCATTGTTTATCCATTGTTTATCCATTGTTTATCCTTTGATTATCCAGTGTTTATCCTTTTTGTTATTCATTGATTATCCATTGTTTATCCTTTGATTATCCAGTGTGTATCCATTGTTTATCCATTGTTTATCCTTTGTTTATCCTTTGTTTATCCTTTGTCTATCCTTTGTTTGGCCATTGTGTATCCATTGATTATCCATTGTTTATCCTTTGTTTATCCTTTGTTTATCCTTTGTTTGGCCATTGTGTATCCATTGTTTACCCTCTGGTTATCCATTGTTTATCCTTTGGTTATCCAGTGTTTATCCTGTTTTTATCCATTGATTATCCATTGTTTATCCTGTGTTTATCCATTGTTTATCCATTGTTTATCCTTTGTTAATCCATTGTTTATCCATTGTTTATCCATTGTTTATCCTTTGATTATCCAGTGTTTATCCTTTGTTTATCCTTTGTTTATCCTTTGTTTATCCATTGTTTATCCTTTGATTATCCAGTGTTTATCCTTGTTTTATCCATTGATTATCCATTGCCTATCCTTTGTTTATCCCTTGTTTTTCCTTTGTTTATCCTTTGTTTATCCTTGTTTTATCCATTGTTATCCATTGTTTATCCTTTGTTAATCCATTGTTTATCCATTGTTTATCCATTGTTTATCCTTTGTTTTAATCCATTGTTTATCCATTGTTTATCCATTGTTTATCCTTTGTTAATCCATTGATTATCCATTGTTTATCCATTGTTTATCCTTTTTTAATCCATTGTTTATCCATTGTTTATCCATTGTTTATCCTTTGTTAATCCATTGTTTATCCATTGTTTATCCAGTGCTTATCCTTTGTTTATCCATTGTTTATCCATTGTTTATCCATTGATTATCCATTGTTTATCCTTTGTTAATCCATTGATTATCCATTGTTTATCCATTGTTTATCCTTTGTTTATCCTTTGTTAATCCACTGTTTATCCATTGTTTATCCATTGCTGATCCTTTGATTATCCAGTGTTTATCCATTGTTGATCCTTTGTTAATCCATTGTTTATCCATTGTTTATTCATTGTTTATCCTTTGTTAATCCATTGTTTATCCATTGTTTATCCATTGATTATCCTTTGTTAATCAATTGATTATCCATTGCTTATCCATTGTTTATCCTTTTTTAATCCATTGTTTATCCATTGTTTATCCATTGTTTATCCTTTGTTAATCCATTGTTTATCCATTGTTTATCCAGTGCTTATCCTTTGTTTATCCATTGTTTATCCATTGTTTATCCATTGATTATCCATTGTTTATCCTTTGTTAATCCATTGTTTATCCATTGTTTATCCATTGTTTATCCTTTGATTATCCAGTGTTTATCCTTTTTGTTATCCATTGATTATCCATTGTTTATCCGTTGTCAATTCATTCTTTATCCATTGTTTATCCATTGTTTATCCTTTGATTATCCAGTGTTTATCCTTTTTTTATCCATTGATCATCCTGTGTTCATCCTTTGTTAATCCATTGTTTAACCATTGTTTAGCCTTTGTTAATCCTTTGTTAATCCATTGTTTATCCATTGTTTATCCATTGTTTATCCTTTGTTATTCCATTGTTTATCCATTGTTTATCCATTGTTTATCCTTTGATTATCCAGTGTTTATCCTTTTTCTATCCATTGATTATCCATTGTTTATCCTTTGTTAATCCATTGTTTATCCATTGTTTATCCATTGTTTATCCTTTGATTATCCAGTGTTTATCCTTTTTGTTATTCATTGATTATCCATTGTTTATCCTTTGTTAATCCACTGTTTATCCATTGTTTATCCATTGTTTATCCTGTGATTATCCAGTGTTTATCCTTTTTTTATCCAGTGATTATCCATTGTTTATCCTTTGTTAATCCATTGTTTGTCCATTGTTTATCCATTGTTTATCCTTTGATTATCCCGTGTTTATCCTTTTTTTATTCATTGATTATCCATTGATTATCCATTGTTTATCCTTTGTTAATCCATTGTTTATCCATTGTTTAGCCTTTGTTAATCCATTGTCTATCCTTTGATTATCCAGTGTTTATCCTTTGTTTATCCTTTGTTTATCCATTGTTTCTCCTTGGTTTATCCTTTGTTTATCCTTTTTTTATTCATTGATTATCCATTGTTTATCCTGTGTTAATCCATTGTTTATCCATTGTTTAGCCTTTGTTTATCCTTTGTTTATCCTTTGATTATCCAGTGTTTATCCTTTGTTTATCCTTTGTTTCTCCATTGTTTATCCTTTGATTATCCAGTGTTTATCCTTTTTTTATCCATTGATTATCCATTGTTTATCCGTTGTTTATCCATTGTTTATCCATTGTTTATCCATTGTTTATCCTTTGATTATCCAGTGTTTATCCGCTTTTTAACAATTGATTATCCATTGCTTATCCTTTGTTTATCCATTGTTTATCCATTGTTTATCCTTTGATTATCCAGTGTTTATCCGTTTTTTTATCCATTGATTATCCATTGTTTATCCTTTGTTTATCCATTGTTTATCCCTTGATTATCCACTGTTTATCCATTGTTTATCCTTTGTTTATCCTTTGATTATCCAGTGTTTATCCATTTTTTATCCATTGATTATCCATTGTTTATCCTTTGTTTATCCTTTGTTTATCCATTGTTTCTCCTTGGTTTATCCTTTGTTTATCCTCCGCTTATCCTTTTTTTATTCATTGATTATCCATTGTTTATCCTTTGTTAATCCATTGATTATCCATAGTTTATCCTTTGTTTATCCTTTGTTTATCCTTTGTTTATCCTTTGATTATCCGTTGTTTATCCATTGTTTATCCTTTGTTTATCCTTTGATTATCCAGTGTTTATCCTTTTTTTATCCATTGATTATCCATTGTTTATCCTTTGTTTATCCTTTGTTTATCCATTGTTTATCCCTTGATTATCCGTTGTTTATCCATTGTTTATCCTTTGTTTATCCTTTGATTATCCAGTGTTTATCCATTTTTTATCCATTGTTTATCCATTGTTTATCCTTTGTTAATCCATTGTTTATCCATTGTTTATCCATTGTTTATCCTTTGATTATCCAGTGTTTATCCTTTTTTTATCCATTGTTTATCCTTTGTTTATCCATTGTTTATCCATTGTTTCTCCTTGGTTTATCCTTTGTTTATCCTCTGTTTATCAATTTTTTATCCTTTGATTATCCAGTGTTTATCCTTTGTTTATCCATTGATTATCCATTGTTTATCCTTTGTTTATCCTTTGTTTATCCATTGTTTATCCTTTGATTATCCGTTGTTTATCCATTGTTTATCCTTTGATTATCCAGTGTTTATCCTTTTTTTATCCATTGATTATCCATTGTTTATCCTTTGTTTATCCTCTGTTTATCCATTGTTTCTCCTTGGTTTATCCTTTGTTTATCCTTTGTTTATCCTTTGTTTATCCTTTGTCTATCCTTTGTTTGGCCATTGTGTATCCATTGATTATCCATTGTTTATCCTTTGTTTATCCTTTGTTTATCCTTTGTTTGGCCATTGTGTATCCATTGTTTATCCATTGTTTATCCTTCGTTCATCTTTTGTTTATCATGCGTTTATACCTCGTTTATCCTTTGTTCATACCTTGTGTATCCTCTGTTTATACCGTGTTTATCCTTTATTTATTCTTTATCCCACTATTTACAGTGTTTCATGGTTACCCATAGGCATCCCAACTGCAGGATTTCGCATCAGCATCAAGCCATCCCAAAGAGACCACCAGGGATAAAAAGTTTCCCCTGCCCCATCCCAGGAAATATGGTTAAAATTACTGTATCATTAGGTAAACCATGGTAAAATGGTAAAACTATGGTAAACTATGATTTTATCCCCATGAAATTAGGTAAACTACGGTAAAACTATGGTAATCATATCGTAAAAATGCTAATCATTAGGTAACTACAGTATGGTAAAATTATCCCGGAAAAATAATGGCTGAGAATTCATAATCCCCATCAAGAAACCAGGTTGATGGGCCCTAGTTTAAAACGATCCTTCATATCCTGTGGCCGATGGAATTTCGGATCAACCATGGACGCCGCTAAACCCCCGTTCTGGGGCCAACTCGTAGGTCTAAATCATGGTGTTAAATATGATGTTCATCGATAACACTCAAATGACAAAGCTGAAAACAACCAAGAATTAAACATACTCAATAAAACCTAAGACTAACCAAAAAATACATATATATATAATTATATATACAAGGAGGGCCCTCAATGAAGAGGGCTGAAATCAGCGTCCGTTAGCGACCCCAAATTCAGACCTTTTGCACACACAGCACGAGGCCCCACGTATAGGGTCACAGCAGCGGCTCCCCCCCCGCACCCCCAGGATCAATGTTGTTTCCTGGTGTTAATCACTGCAGCAGCCAACTTCCAAAGCGTCAGGTCTTCACAGCAAGACATTTTCGTCAACCTTGATTCCGGGGGGTGCAGGGGGGGGCCGCATGTGGCCGGAAAGGCCCTTTGAATTAGGAAGAAACACATGTGCCGTCACGGCAGGTGGCACATCACAGCTGCAAGATGAAATGCTTCACTGGCCGTTGGCGATGTCAATCTTTGCATTGGCTCCACTGCAACACTAGCATGCTTCGGTGTGAAACTACTAAGCACGATGTCACAACTTTATATTGGCTCTGCCGCAAAACTACTATGCTTCTGTGTGAAAACTACTAAGGGGAATTTCAAACTTTGTATTGGCTCGGTGGCAAAACTACTAAGGAATTGTTCAATGGACAAAAAAGGAAACACTTTCTTCTATTTCTTTTCAATTGGCAGAATTCCTTAGTAGTTTTGCGTCCAAGCCATTGTGATTTCAATTTCACGGGTTAGTAGTTTTTCATGCGTGCATGAGCTGTGACTCTGCCGTGCCAATGCAAAGTCTGCGAAAATGGTTGGAAGTATCCTTAGTAGTTTTTTGGGGCCACAGCAAAAACAGGTGCCAAAGCACGCAAAAACGTGTTTTTGATGCCTTGGGAGACAGCAGTCGTTAGGTAACCTGCCGCGTGTGACTTCACCACATTCCTGTCTGACTCCTTTAGAGACAGCAGTCTCAAGTGCTTCAGTGAGACATATAGTTTTGAGGAAGCTGCTGCTGACTCCTCGGGAGACAGCAATCACAAGTGCTTCAGTGAGACATATAGTTTTGAGGAAGCTGCTGCTGACTCCTCGGGAGACAGCAATCACAAGTGCTTCAGTGAGACATATAGTTTTGAAGAAGCTGCTACTGCTGACGGGTCATTTTGAAGGCCAGGAGCCACGAGAGGTCTTGGGTGCTCAGTTTGCCCGCCGATTTCAGGACTCTGCGTCGTTTTTTCTCCCGGCGCAGAGCTGAAACAAAAAGATTGAAAGTACAAGTGGTGCGATGCAGGTGCAATGCAGCTTCACCAAAAAAACCTGAGATGGGAAAGATGAAGGTGCAAGTGGCACGATGGAATGTCAATACAGCTTCACCAACACAAACATGGCACACAAGGATGAAATTGAACCAGCCTGGGCCTTGACTTCTCGACTGGTTTGCTGCAGCTGGCGTTTCAAGGCCTGCCTTTCAGCTTTCAAAGCAGCTATACGGTCATCCATCCCGGGCACATGGGCTACAGCAGCACCTTCCGCAGCATCCCTTTCCATACCAGCGGCGGCAGACGACATGGCTATAGATATAGTCAAATTGTGTTTTCTGCGACGAGCTGTGAGCCGTGCTAGCTGCAGAAGCCATGCCGTCTGGACAGCTTCCATGCCAATTTTCTCAAACTGCACAACTGGAAGATAGTGTGACAAAACATGGCCGGTGGGGGCCCAAAACTGGGGGCTTGAAAAGTGATGCCAAAGGGACTCCCGTACCATGTACCCCCATAGTATATATATATATATGTATACACCAAACACCCAACACCAAACTCAGACCTGTCGATTTTGTTGATTAAGATTGACATAGATACGCAAAAGCCATCGTTTCCCAAGGAAACCATTGCCTATAAATGATGGGTTTTTCATGGGTGTTCCACATCTATGGCAATTTGCTGTAAGGTAACTCATTGCCTTTAGAGACTTCCAGGGACTCCTCTTGAGCATGCCATGTGCCAAGAAACATCGAACCTGCAGAACCCCCAAAAAATGCGGAACTGGAAAGGAATAATATGTTAGACTTGTCTACAGGAACTGTTTTCTAGGAAGTCCTAAGCAAACGTTCAACCCATAGACCATACACCCCTGATACTTGCTGATGTTTAGGGTCTTCAATATCAGGGGAGTGTTTCGTCACTGCTGACCCCTTCACACTTCGATTTCATTTTGCAACGAGCACTAGAACCTACTTGGATGTGCATCCCAGCTAGTAAGTGATTTATAACCCATATAGGATATTCATGGATATTCCATTCCATGAATAATTGGGGTATCCTAATCCCATGCCCCGAATTCTACTGTACATCTCAGTGGTGCCAGAAATGTTGTCTCCAATCTCCTACATCTACCATGCTTTCTGGGGTCTTTAATATAAACTAGGATGGGATTAAATTGTAGTTGGTTAGTATAAACCATATAAACATGTGGGGGTGTCCATAAATGCTAGTACCCAAAAAATAGCTGGATGGTTTAGGGAAAATCCCAATCTAAATTGGATGATGAATTTCTGGTACCCCTATTTTAGGACACCTCCATTAATGTAAGTTGATTAAAACCTCCATTATTAATCCATTATTAATCCATTATTAACCCATTATCCCATCATAATCCATGATTAAAACCATGAAATCTCCATTCCAACCCATTATAATCCCATTATTAATCCATTATTATTCCATTATATCAACCATTATTAATGGGTAATCCCTTATTAAAACCATGAAATCTCCACCATTCTGGATCCCAGAGATCCAAGGCACAGGTTGTCCAAGGCAAAATAGTCCGAGGCCCTGCCGATTTCGCAAAATCCGCGGAACTGGAGCCACTCCTGGCGACCGAAAAACCCAGGAAAGCGGGATTTTTTGGGACCGGACATGGGATACGGCAGTTGCTGTAAGCAATTGTATACTGTATTATCTATATGTATATATATATAATGATATATATATATATGTACATGTCATGATGGAAAAATATGTACATATGTATATATATATATATATCATGTTCAATTTGTTTGTCTTTAATCATCCATTTTCATATCACTGGCAGCAGACGGGAAGGTTTTGCAGGGGACTGCCATTGGCACCAGCCATGACTGGGAATGGTTGGGTTACCATACCACCTTATACTTATGGTGATGACTGGGGGATGGTAAACATGGATGTAAACATGGCAGGTGCAAATGGGTGTTTTAATGGCATTGTTTGACCCACAAAAAATAGAGTAAACGGACTTAGCTCTGATGTGCAGAATTGCATGGATAAGCGTTTTAATAGATGCCCGCCCAAAAAAGAACATGTTTATCAGTGGGATATCAAAATTATTTGTTGATGCCCAAATTCATCAATTTCTCAACCTGCCAGAAGAAGGTCGATCATCCATCGCACAGATATCTGTCAATCAATTGATGCAGGCATTCTTGAATCTCCCATGTTTCTCAGCTGCTGTACACCCCCAAACATGAAGCTGGCACACCAAACCATGGTCGCGGAAATGATTTTCCACTCTTGGATGTTGCCAATAAGATATTGGTTCCATGTTAAATTTAGGTGCAACCCTATCATGAAAAAGAGTCCAGAGGTGGTATGCTATCTTTCTCCCGGTAACTGCAGACACTCCGGTAATCCAACATGGCTTGCTGGACAATCCCCTGTGTGTAGTTGATTTTCCCATTAAAACTTCTATTGATAAGGGATTTTCCGGCCAGAAAAGTTTGATTACTTGAGGGTAAATGAGTGTTGAATAGAATTGACTACAAGCCCACGACTTGGGACTTGCGACCAAGGTAATTACA